ACGCATCCACTGGCGATGGCGATGCATCTACGGGTGTACCACGCTCAGCCAGCGTTAGTGGAAAATCGTCGTTCTCGTGGCGACGCTTGCGGTCCAAGAACTCTGCTGTCGGACTTGGTAGCGCATACGCAAACCGTAATGCTGTTGAAACCAATAAGGAAATTCCCAGTCTTGCTAGTCTGCCAATGACACCAAACCCGACAACTCGCCCAACGAAGCGGGATCTGACACAAGTCGACTTTACGGGACCCAACGCGATGTATATGAGCTCATTGGCACGCCTGTTTGATGCAGCTCAAGCTATCGGTAAGCCAATACTTTGTGACGAGAGTCTTCAAGTTACTAACCACTATGTACAGATCAAATAGCTAGACAAGTAGAAGACCCTGGGTTGCGGCACGCCGACAAGACACAAGTCGGGCTTGAGCTTTGTACTCGGCATGCAGCCGAGTTCTTCGGATTCTACGTGTGTCGATTTGTTCTGGCAGACTTGGGACTATTGCTTGACAAGTTCCTCAAGCGAGGCAGTGAATGGGTTCTCACTTGAACTTGATGTGAAATGAAAGAGTTGGATGACTGGGAATCGGTAGTTATGATGGATGCATGGGCAGGCAGGCAATGGTGCCTTCGTTTTTTTTTTATTCGGCGAAGTACTTAGATGTATCCCGTATGATGGGAAAGGCTCGATACCCAAGCGATCTATATGTTTCACTTTCATTAAAGCACGTTTGTTTGCGGTATATACGATGTGATGGATGGCATAAATGCCTTGATTAGGACTACACAGATACAATATCCTGTCCACCTGAGACATTCAGTTGGACGAAGGAACTAGTTAGACTGTACAAATACTACTTAACTAATACTTGCTTGACGATTTATGGTGTTTTTTTTGTACTTCTCATCCCTTATGTCCATGTATATGGCATTTCAAAGTTCGACCAAAAGCGGCATAGCGCGGGGATATCCTGATGTACGTACCTCCACCACTTCTGAGGATTTCGTCCATCATGGGTAAATCGTTTTGGACTTTTAACCTCACTTATCCGATCAACTCGTCCCACCAAACGGTTATTCAGCCATTGAATTGGCTCGACTATTATCTACCAATACCTTGGCCAAATGTGCCCGAGACAAGTCTAGATGAGCCTGGCTTGGAGCGCTGGCCGTGCCTGGAGTCGGCAATGCCTCTCGCAAGCTAGACCATCATGGTCCGCATGCCACAATAGAACACTGCTACGAATCGCACCACGACTTGTCCCAGCCTTTCGCGCATACGCTTCCTCGAATACGAAACCTACCCCAGCCGAACTCGAGGCTCGGATTGCTGCGATTCCGATTGAAAGATACCGAAACTTTTGTATTGTTGCGCATATCGACCATGGAAAGAGTACACTGAGCGATCGACTGCTGGAATACACAGGGACCATCTCGGCAAGTGATGCGAATAAACAGATTCTGGATAAGCTCGATGTTGAGCGCGAGCGCGGCATCACTGTCAAGGCGCAGACATGTACCATGATTCACAAGTACAAGGGCGAAGACTACCTGCTTCATTTAGTCGATACACCTGGCCATGTCGATTTCAGAGCAGAGGTTACGAGATCTTATGCTAGCTGTGGTGGTGCATTGCTTCTTGTCGATGCATCACAGGGTATCCAGGCGCAGACAGTGTCCAACTTTCACCTTGCATTTGCGCAGGATCTTGCGCTGGTGCCGGTTGTGAACAAAATTGACATGCCTGCTGCTGACGTCCCTCGTGTGCTACAGCAGATGGAAGATACCTTTGAGTTGGATCCTAAAAGCGCCGTTTTGCTGAGTGCCAAGACTGGAAAGGGCGTGCCGGATGTTTTGCCTGCTGTCATTGAGCGTATTCCTCACCCCGTCGGCGATGAGAAGAAGCCACTGAAAATGATGTTGGTGGATTCATGGTACGATAACTTCCGTGGCGTCGTGCTCTTGGTCAGACTGTTTGACGGTACTATCAAGGCCGGCGACAATGTCATTTCCATGGGTACTGGTATGAAGTACACTGTTGGCCAAGTAGGCATTCAGTACCCTCATGCCATACCACAAAAGACCCTTAGTGCTGGTCAAGTTGGATACGTCTACTTCAACCCAGGCATGAAGAAGATCCAAGACGCGAAACTTGGCGACACGTTTACCTTCCTTGGCTGCGAAGACAAGGTCGAACCTTACCCAGGCTTCGAAGAACCCAAGCCCATGGTCTTTGTCGCTGCGTTCCCCACTGACCAAAGCGACTACAGCCGTCTGGCCGACAGCATAGGTCAGCTCGTGCTGAACGACCGTAGCGTGACTTTGCAGAAAGACCACTCTGAGGCGCTCGGAGCGGGTTGGCGTTTGGGATTTCTGGGGAGCTTGCACTGCTCTGTGTTTCAGGATCGTTTGAGACAGGAACACGGACGAAGTGTCATCCTGACGGAACCGACTGTCCCGTCCAAAATCATCTGGCCCGACGGATCGGAGGAGATTGTGTCGAACCCGGCGCTGTTTCCGGAGACGAGCAACCCGAAAGTTAAACAGTCCCAGCTGTTTGAGCCGTGAGTTTTTATGGGTACCTATTTCCACTTCACTTATGCTGACTGATGCGCAGCTATGTAACGGCTACCATTACTATGCCAGAGGAGTATCTCGGCCGAGTAATTGAGCTGTGCGAAGCCAACCGTGGAGAACAGAAGAGCCTTGAGTTTTTCCATACAACACAGGTCATCTTACGGTATCATATCCCAACAGCTCAGCTGGTCGATGATCTCTTTGGAAAGCTCAAGAGCGTCACGTATGTCTTTCACCATGCCTCGTTGTCTGAGCATCGTTAACATATTGTTGCAGTAAGGGATATGCCACACTAGACTACGAAGATTCAGGTTGGCAACAGAGCAGTTTGGTCAAAATTCAGCTCCTAGTAAACAGGCAACCTGTTGATGCTATTTGTAAGGTTGTGCATTCATCGCAGGTTGACCGTCTCGGAAAGCAGTGGGTGACCAAGTTCAAGGAACATGTTGACCGACAACATTTCGGTAAGAAGATTTCCACTCACGTAGAAACATTTAAATACAGTGCTAACATGTATCTCAGAGGTTGTTATTCAAGCCACAGCGGGTAACCGTATTGTAGCACGAGAAACCATCAAGCCGTTCCGCAAGGATGTGCTGGCCAAGCTTCATGCTGCTGATGTGTCACGAAGAAGAAAGTTGCTGGAGAAACAAAAGGAGGGAAGAAAGAGGCTGCGTGCCGTAGGAAACGTCATCATTGATCAGTCAGCTTTTCAAAGTTTCATGTCCAGATGATTCGAGATGATTGGATATGGCGTGTACTCATAGTGTAACATCATGAACATACGATAGATATAAAGAAAAAAGAAAGAATTGTATAGTTATGCAAAAAAAAAGAAAAAAAGAAAAAAAAAGAAGAAGAAGAAAAAGATTAGATTCTTGGCTTGTAAGATGATGAAACTACATCGGTTCTACTTATATGTCATACATTCTTTCTACCGTTTGATATGAAACTAGCCAAGTGAATATGCCAGAAAGTTAAGAAGCACTGGGATCAGTTTCAGGATCCTCCTCGGGCAGATCAGTGCCAAGGGCAACAGGATCCTTCCACGAGAGGCACAGTCCGCCTGCAAGAGTCCTCTCCTGCTGGACAACTCTCAACTCACCCTCGGCGTTCCTCTCAGCTTCAAAGTCAAAGACACGATAGTCACTATTAAAGAACCAATATCCAACAACACCCAACCTGAGGAAACCAGCGTGGGACACCACGAATATGAGCTTCTCAGGACGCTTGTAGAGATCCTCTAGAGCACGTTTTCCACGAGCAAGGATGGACTTCTTAGTATAAGCGTAGCGCCGTCCCGCAGGGGATCTCTTCTCAGGCCAAACGGCGTCGACAGTGGAGAAGTTGACCTGAGGAAAGTCTTTTGATACAATGGATATCTGACTTCCCGTATCACAAGGCTTATCCGAATTTTCTATCGAGAAACTATAAGTAAGATTTGCAACGTTTGTGGTTTTCTAGACCGAGGAGAATACCTTGCCAGTCTGCGTTGCCTTCGATTTTCACACCGCGCTCGACAAGCCAGTCCATGGAGAGCATGGCTGTCTGGAGAGTACGACGCATGGGACTCACGATGATAGCGATATCATCAGGGTTATTTACATCCTTGGAGAAGGTGGAGATGAGGTTCTCTCTCAGGTTGGCGCATTGTAGTTTGCCCTCGTCTGTGAGTGGGGGGTCAGGTAGAGTGTAGTCCTGTGGTTGTAGTGTTAGTCGTCTATTTTGCCTTCTGGTGTGTATATAAAGAAAAGACTTATGAGAGAGGTTATGCCATGCCTGAGCGTGGCGGATGAGGACGACGGTTGGAGACATGGTGATGTTTGGTTGGTTGGGTGAATTGAGATGGTGTGGTTGGAATTGAGTTGAGAGGTGCAAGCTGGGTTACATAATACTTGGGAGTGGATGTAGAACAAAAAAAAAAAGCTTAGTTGACAGGAATTAAACATGTTTTTATAAATAGATGATTTCTCAACAATTGATAATAGTAACTTGACATATTCTCAGTAGATCGTAGATCATCCTTTGATAGGGTAGAAAACTCGATAAGAAGTATTAAATAGTCCTGAGGCGTCATCATGGCTTGCGTGAGGCCCTGTCTGACCATTCAACGGTGTCGGGTAATCTACCATCTCTGTAGCGACAAAAGCATCACGGAGGTCTTTTGCAACACAATCGCCTAGAATCTGATTACATTTAGCATTTAGTATGTTAAATGAGGGTATAATGTACGTTCATTACGTCCGTTAACTGCAGCTTATTCGCTCAAAGCTACAAGAAAAAAAAAACCGACCAAGCCCCTGACATGAATGGCTTCATTTCCTCCTCTTATATACAAGTCTAGTCTTGTCTATGTGTATGTACCTCTATGTGCGTCTCACGTTTATATGCTATACTTATCATCATTAGATATTAAAGTTCCGTCTTTAGATCGCCAAAAGAGCTGCAACGCCCATGATCATCCCCGCGAGAGGGACTCCTGTTGGTGCGGCTGCGTTATCTGTCGATGTCGACGACGCCTCTGCTGCCGCTGGGGCAACTGACGACGCAGCATCGACCAACGACGTCACCACAGCGCTGAGGCCGTCTGTTGTAGAAGAGGCAGCATCGTCGGTTTCTGAAGCTTCAGTCTTGGTGACAACCATTGTTGTAGCCTTTGTCTCAGATGCCATTGTCGTTGTGACCTCAACTGTGGTGACCTTTGTCTTGGTGGTAGCGCTAGCCGCAGCAGTCGAGCCCTGTTCGTCGTCCGCCTCAGCAGCACCACCAGCCTTCTCGACTCTCTCCTTGACCCAATCGGCAGCTTCGTCTGTGAAAACATCAAAGTAGTTGAGATGCGTCTTTACGTCCTTGCCCTGCGCGCAGATGGGGTCTGTCGCAACGCAATACGCGTGGAACACATCACCGTAGCTTGCTAAGTTGGCAAGCTGGTCTGCGGGGCGAGGGAAGAGGCCGTTCTTGCTAACGCCTGAGAGAACATTGTATGGCTGATCCGCTGTGTGCCGAGTATCGCCGAACACCATAGCCGCAACGACTGAGAAAGAGAAAATTTGTTAGTTACGTCACATAATGTTTGTTGAAAGCACTGGGCAGGATAAGGGCACGGCTTACTGCTGCTACCGGGCCTAGAATCGGGGCTTAAGCCGGCGATCTTGTCCTCGACACAACCTTGGAAGAAAACACCTCCACCACCGCCAAGGATATCACCGACGACCTGTCCACCCTGCGAGTAACCGCTGACGACGAGCTTTGATTTGGGACATTTCTTGTTGTATTCCGTGATCTGCTTCTTGCCATTGACGACACCCTCGGTGACTGAGTCGCAAAAAGGTGCTTCGAGGGGGTTGTTGAAGATGATGTCTTCGTAGTCGCAGCTCTTATAGCCGTCGCAAATGGCTTTGACCAATACGCCCTGCCGTCCTGGGTAGGGCTCGTTATTTCCCTTTGCGAGAAAGACGTGGACGTCTTTACACTCGGAAGCTCGGATGCCAATTGAGTGGACAGCAGCCGCATTGGCAAGAAGGACGAGTAGTGATGTTTTTTGTTGCATCGTGAAGTTGTGTTTTGTTTGGTATGTCTCGGTTGGGTCTGAACAGAGAAGGGAGGAATGAAGGGAGGCCTGGTACTCTTTAACAAATAACTGATCAATGTCTGCAACTCCCTTCACAACAATTCGTCACTGACCCAAAACAGAGACGAGAAACAAGAGACGAGACCCGTTTCATTGCCAGGATCCCCTGGAAGCGCCCCAGGTTTTTTCTTCTTCATCATGGCCCATAATGAGAGTGGGATCAAGAGTTCGGCCCTGCAGGTTCCGACATATACCATTAAACGCTACAGTGGAGTACCTGTAGGCACTAATTAAGCCTGCTATGGAGCCTACAGGTAGTACCTAACTACTACTAGTCAGTGCTCAGCTGACCGATCACGGGGAGACTCTCCACTATAGCGGACAAATTGCCTGAACAAGAAACTTCAGCGCTATCTGCGTATCTCAAGACATTGGGATATAGAGATAACAGCTAGTATATCCATACGATCTACAGTCCTATACCTTAGTGACAACAACCAACAACAAGTAGATACAAACTTGGCCTTCTTCTCGTCTGATCAACACTAGTACCCGCACCTCATTTACCATCTCATTTAACTACCTAGTGGACATGTCCCCGGTTATCAACATCCTTGAAGAAAGGGTTAAAGTCATACGTCTGATGTCGCTCATCCTTCTCCCAAACCAAGTTCCCCCCTTCTGAGTGAATCCTGAAATGTGACTCTCTCAATCGCTCAGCTTGCTCAGGAGTCAAATTGTCCGTCACCTTACCCGTGTACACCAGGGCTTTGTTACGGCCCTTGAAGCAATCGTTTGTCCTGTCGCCGTGGTTGTTGGCGGGTTCATAGTCGGGGAATGTTTGTAGCCGGTCAAGCAACGACCGATGTAAGACTGCCCCACGGGGAATGTCACGGTATGATCCCATGTTGGGAGGGAATGTGACAGGTTTCCATCCAAGAAGCTTGACATTGTCGCTTGTCGCGTCGTCAAGTTCCCAGCGAGTGAGAAAAGGGAGCCATTCTGTTCATGTTAGATCCATACCTAATCAATGACTGAGATGAGATGTACTTACCCATAAACTTCCACATGAGCACCTTGAAAAATGCAGTTCCGTACCCAAAAGCAAGCGTGTCATGCATGAACCCGTGGGTCGCTTCCATACGTCTCTGGGGATTCTTCATCATATCCTCAAATGGCTCAAGGCTGTGACACCAATGGACTTGAGCACTCGGGTCTTTCTCGCCGCACTTCTTGACTTCGCGAATCATCCACTCTAAAGGAATGTCACTCATCTGAAGCCAGTCGTTGTTCAGATCAGTGCTCGCCTTGTCGGCCTTCCATGTCTTGATGGCATTCTTGAAGCGGCCCCAGAGCGACAGCTTTACCATCTCAGGCTTCGGATGAGCAGAGCCGTTTTCCCCAACCAGGCTCTGCTCAGAAGAGCACAGCAGAGGCTGTTTCTTCTTGGTGTCAGCCTGCTCCGCTACCACGACGGGCCAGCCACCACCGACATCCCCGTGGTTACCAGGGAACCAGACTTCTTTAATGTCTTCTTCAGCGGCTGGCTTGCGGTTGTGAACCGCAGCTCTGATATCCTGTGCAAGAAGAGCAGGCTTGAACTTAACACGACGCTCGTCGATAGCCACCGCGTGACGAACGTGATGTGCTGTCCCAGTTACGGGAACAGGCATGCGGGCCTTGCGCTCTAGAACAGCAACAGAAGCAACGCAGTCCCAGATGCCAAGGAAGAATACCTTGATATTCTCCTCTTCGCCATCAGAGTTCGTCTCTTTGCGACAAAACGTCTGGCTGAAGGCCTCAATCTCATTCGAAGCCTCTCTGGTCTCGTCACTGACATCAGTGGGATCCTGGCCCGGTAGCCGGATTTCACCAGCGTGGGAGTGAGATTCATCTCCATCGTGCTCATGGCCATGGGAGCACTGGGCTACCTCACTGTCTTTGATCTCGCCTTGCAGATGACGTTGATAGAGACGGTATGCAAAAGGAACCATCTCTTCGTTGCCCTTGCAGAGAAGACCGACCTTGTTGAGCATTCGGGCGAGGAACTTGGCAGTGAAAGCACCTCGGCTGAAGCCAAAGACATAGATTTTCGCGCCCTGAAGGTTGTCAATATTCGGGTAACAGAATGTGGAAAGCGCAACTTACAGGCTCATAGTACCGCATGAGAAAGCGGTAGCCAGCAATGACATGGGCATCGAACGTAGTTCCAAAGCCCTGATCCACAGTCTTTGCAATACTACTGCCAATCTCACCAACAAAAGTCTTGTTCACAGACTTTTCATTGATATCATAGGTACCAATACCGGCTTGAAAAGTATTAGCAACAGTTGTTTGAAGTCAGCGGCTGGGCATCTCTCACTTTGATAGTAGTGGTATTGGTTCGGGTGGTTGCGATCCATCTTCCGTAGGATCTTGACCACGTTGGTATCCGCATTGGAACCGCTAAAGGTATTTCCCGTGCCATCGAAGCACAGGATGAGCTTCTTGGGCTCTGTAGAGTCGACTGTCTCAGCGTGCGGCATCGTGAATATCAGAAGAAGGATATGAGTGGAAAGTGCAAAGAGACGACGAGAACTGTGTCTGGGGGACCAGAACAGCTTTCTTTATGCGGGAATCACCCAACCCCCCTCTTACTGATCACAATCTCATCACAGGCACCAATTATTCCTGCAAAGTCACAGTCCATGTCCTCCCTTACGAACGGGCGGCTTCACTGTGAGTTGCGGCAATGTCCATCTAGTGTAGCCCCAACATGGAATGATGACGTGGAAACAACAAAAGTATACATGAGAATATAAAAGCACCCCCCTTGTTCACAGTCTCGTTTTCTCAAACTTGGACTCAGACCAGCCGCTCAAGATAGCATGATTATGTAGGGAGACTAAATCGGAGAATATTGATTTGTCAACCCAACCACGCATGCCTCAGCAAGCCACAAGGCGATAAAAGTTGCCTTTTTCATGGCTGAAAACAACTGAGAGAAGAAGGAGATCAACAAGACAAGTCTTGGTATCGGTTCCTCACTCTTCGGATGGCCGAGATTGTTTGTGAGACCTTGTGCCGTGTCCTGTTACGAGCAGTTGCAGTTTTTGTTTCAGCAAGCCACAATTCAAGTTGCATTGCACTGCATGTAAAGCGAGTTACTTGCTGGACTGGTCTTGTCAGAAGCGGGGATGGGACATGCGCACATCCGATGGGTTTGTGAAAGGTCGGTGACGGTGACACAACATCTTCATCTTCTTGGACCCTGATGTTGGTCCATCGATATTGATTCTGGCTAGTTTCGGCCCAGAAGTTTTGAAATTGAAGGCCTCGTTCTCCATGCTTGTATTTGACAATTGTCTTGTTAGAATTGATCGTGAGGTTGATACTAGTTGTTGCTGAAATTAATTGTCTGACATTGAGCTGCAAGTCTGACGCATTCAGGCTCACCGTTTTTCACTTTGCTTTTCCTCAACTCAAAAAGACTTTCTCAACGGCAATAATACATGCAGTATCGTTGTTGAAGCCAATCGCTTGGCCGTGATAACAAATCTTAATGATGCCATGAACTGTAGGTCTCACAACCCCTCTTTCAATTTCAGCTTTGGTACACGACGGAATGGCTTGCTGAGACATGGAGCAGCAGCAGCTGTTTGCCATGACGGGCCGTATCTCCTTCAGTAATATGATGCGTTATGATATGATCGACATCCACTGTGTGTTGCACAAGGGAGAAGAGGGGTCCTCCGCTAAGAGAACGCCAGTCAGCAATATATGAGACAATGTCTAGCATCGGCAGATTGGGTTGGCCAATTGAGTCTCATCGGTATTTAATAACCCCGCGCGTGTTGACCGGAACGGACCGTACGCATTGGCCAGTTGCTAAAGAGCGACTAGAATTGGCTGAAGGACCTTGATTTGCATAGTGAGGTCGGAATGTGATGCGATGCATGTAGGGTTGGCTCGGGGCTTCATTCCGATACATACAGGGAATGCCATCTTGTCGAGATCAGTACTGTCCCAACATCAAAACTCAAAAGTTCTCATACACACCAGAACGAGTTTCCAGGTTGAGAAAACATCTGCATAGCTGAACTCTCATCTGCAATCTCACATGCCATTGTGGCTGTCACCGCCAAAGCGGCAACACTACAGTTGCCCACGTAGATAGATCTTGCATCCCATTGCATACCGTCTCGAGGTATTACGAGTAAGACATCATGTTCTCGACCCCTCTTGTCGCATCTTGCTTCCCATAGATCAGCTTGTGGACGAATCAAGTCACAATATAGTATTACGGCTCTTGATGTTGTTCTTTCTTTCATTGCGGATCAGCTGATAGCTCCTCCTCTTGATGAGAGATGGCATTGGTAGAGAGATGACCGATATGCACATCAAGTCCTGTTCCACAAACAGGCCTTGCTCAACTACGCCACTGACTTCAAGGCCTCAATGAGGGGACTCGAATATGTCTGTGCATGGCGTAGTTACCGCTCGCAACAGAGACCGGCTAATCATGAATCGACTATAAAGACTGGAAGGACATGCTGTTGATGAGAAAGTCAGGAACCCCTTCTTCACTTTCTTAGATCTTCTCTCTCAAAAGCCCGTAAGAGTTTAGATCTTCATCATGTCGTTCAACGAAAAGTATCAGGCCGGAGAGTCTTACAAGGACACCTCCAAGGAAGACCCTTCAAGTCTTCTCGACAACCCTGAGAAGCTCGTTGCTGATCTGATGAAAGATTTTGCTGGTGTTCGAAGCCAGGCTAGTCCTGCTGATCTCTTGGCTCTTGTCAAGCAGCTTCTTCAAAAGGGACAGCCTCTTGATGATAAGAAGGGGTAAGTTATCGTTTATTGAACCCAATTACTGTCACTAACAGATTTAGCACAACTGAGCTCCTCATCGGTATTCTTACTGCCTTACCTCGTTCCTCCAAGGCTCGCACCGCTCTTACAAACAAGCTCATCGACACTCTTTGGGGTAACCTTCAACACCCCCCATTGAGCTACGTTGGCGGCGACGTCAAGTATGAAGTTGCCGGTGCAGAGCCAGATCACAAGAGCCACTGCGAACAATACGACACAATTGAGTTTCAAGTACCAGGTACCAATGTTACCCTTAGAGAACAGGTCCCTCAAGCACCCGACGGTCTGCACCAGTACCGTATGCCTGATGGAAGCTTCAACAACATCCTTGAGCCAAACTTGGGTAAAGCTGGTACTCCCTATGCCAAGTCGGTCAAGACTGAGAAGCGCCTCCATGGCGTCAAGCCCGATCCTGGTCTGCTCTTTGATCTTCTTATGGCTCGTGATGAAGGCTCCTTCAAGGAAAACCCAGCTGGTATCTCGTCCATGCTGTTCTACCATGCTGCCATTATCATTCATGACATTTTCCGCACAAACCGCACAGACATGAACAAGTCTGATACATCGTCATACCTTGACCTTGCCCCTTTGTACGGATCTTCTCTCAAAGATCAGCTTGAGATCCGTACCATGAAGGAGGGTAAGCTCAAGCCTGACACCTTCCATGAGAAGCGTCTCTTGGGCCAACCTGCTGGTGTCAACGTGATGCTTGTACTCTACAGCCGTTTCCACAACTATGTTGCCGACATCTTGCTCAAGATCAACGAGAATGGACGTTTCTCGCTGTCTACACCCCCCAACGCTACTGAGGAAGACAAGGCCAAGGCAATTGCCAAGCAGGACCACGATCTCTTCAACGTGGCTCGACTTATCACAGGTGGTTTGTACATCAACATCTGCCTTCATGACTACCTTCGAGCCATCACCAACACACACCACTCCGCCAGTGACTGGACTTTGGACCCTCGTGTTGCTATTGATAAGCAATTCGATGGCGAAGGAGTTCCTCGCGGTGTCGGTAACCAGGTCAGCGTTGAGTTTAACCTTCTCTACCGCTTCCACTCTTGCATCTCCAAGAGAGATGAGCGCTGGATCAACGGCTTCTTCCTCAAGCTCTTCCCTGGCCGCAAGGCGGAGGACCTCCAGGACGTTAGCTGGACTGAACTTGGTCAAGCTCTTATGACCTTTGAGGCCAATACCCCCAAGGACCCTAGTGTTCGAACGTTTGACGGCCTTGAGCGTCAAGCCGATGGTACTTTCAAGGACGAGGACCTTGTAAACATTCTCAAGACAGCCATGGAGGACCCTGCTGGCTGCTTTGGAGCTCGCATGGTTCCCAAGGCTCTGAAGGTCGTTGAAGTGCTTGGTATTATTCAGGGCCGCAAGTGGCAATGCGCCTCTCTGAATGAGTTCCGTGAGTTCTTTGGACTCAAGCGCTACGACAGCTTCAGCGACATCAACTCAGATCCCGAGATTGCAAACATTCTTGAGAAGCTGTACACTGATCCTGACATGGTTGAGCTCTACCCTGGCCTTATGGTCGAGGATATCAAGCCCCAGCGCAACCCGGGATCTGGTATCATGCCAACTTACTCGGTCGGCCGAGCTGTCCTCTCCGATGCAGTCACACTTGTGCGCTCGGACAGATTCAATACGATTGATTACACCGTATCTAACCTCACTGCTTGGGGTTACAACGAAGTCCAACAGGACTACAAGACCCTTGGTGGTTCAATGCTGTACAAGCTCATCCAGCGTGGTGTCCCTAACTGGTTCCCCTACAACTCCATCTCAGTCATGCAGCCCATGTACACCAAGAGCGCCAATGAGAAGATCGCCAAGGAGATTGGCACTTTTGACCAGTATACAACAGATGATCCAAAGCCACCAGCCAAGGTCGCCGTGACAATGTCCGGTGAGACCATCAAGAAGGTCCTCGGCAACACAAAGCAGTACGTCGTACCCTGGCTCAAGTCCTTGAACGACCTGTTCCCTGGCAAGAAGGAATATGGTTGGTTCATGCTTGCGGGCGATGAGGCCAAAAACTATCAGCATCGCGCCGACTGGACAAAGGTGATTAAGAAGGTTCCCAATCTTCACGATGCCGTGCACGCTTTTATCGAGCGTGAGGGTGCCAAGCTTATTAAGAAGGAGTCCTTCAATTTCAAGAAGGGTCTGGACCAGATTGACATCATCCGCGATGTTGCGATTCCCCTCAACGCGCAACTTCTATCAGACATGTTCTATTTCGATATGCGCACAGAGGAGAACCCTGACGGGGAACTTGGCGCTGCAGAGCTGTACCGCAGCCTTCTTGACATCCGCATCTGGGGAGTCAATAACAACGACCCAGGACAGGCGTTCAACCGCCGACGTCGTGCCCAAGAAGGTGTCAAGAGGATATATGAGTCGACCAAGAAGCTAGTTTCCGAGGTCGAGGTGGCACGTCCTCGAGGTATCGGCCTGATCTCTGCCGTTTCTAACAGAATTGGCGCCAAGTCGTATCTGAAGAAGGATTCGCTACGCTCCTGTGGTCTCAAGCTTGTTGAGGAGCTTCTTGCACAGGGCAGCTCAATTGACCATGTTACTGATAACCTCTGGCTGACCGCCTTTGGCGGAGTTGGCGTTCCTGTCACAACCGTAAGTTAGCTTGTGTGAAGGTGGGAATATTATGCTGACCAAGTGTATAGTTCTACGAGGTCTTGGCCTTTTTCTTGCGCCCCGAGAACGCATCCATCTGGGCTGAAGTCCAGGCCATTGCTCAAAAGGGTGATGATGCGACACTTCATGCCTACGTTGCTGAAGCTCAGCGCATGACGAGCTCTCAGCGCAACGTTCGTATCGCTAAGACAGCAGGTGAAGTCGATGGCCAATCTGTCGCGCCTGGAACAGCCGTCGTTCTCATGCTTGTAAGTCATCACAAGCCATTGCCTTAACATCAGATTTCTAACGATCACACAGGGCGAAGCCGGACGCAACCCCAAGGAGGTTCCAGATGCCGACAAGTTTAACGCCCAGCGCAAGGTCCAAGACGTATCGGCATTCAGCTACGGTCAACACGAGTGTTTTGCCAAGGACGTCGCCCTCGCTTTCGTTACCGGTCTGATCAAGCTTGTCGCCGATCTGAAAGAACTTCGACCGGCACCTGGCCAGATGGGACTGGTCAAGACAATTCGCGTTGGTACCGAGAAGGCTTATCTCAACGACAGCTGGTCATACCTTGGATTTGATGCTAGCAGTAAGTTTCTTGACCAGGCGGGATGGATCCATGTACTAACTGTGTTACAGCTTGGAAGGTGCACTTCAACGGGCATGGAAAGGGTAACTTCGAAGGTGACAGAGTTCCTACGAGCAACACTCCCATCCAGGAATACTACTCCTTGCTCCAGAAGCGCAAGGATGAGATTCTGCGTCGATAACTTGACATAGCGATAGTTTTGTTCTCGAAGAGATAGTGAAGTCGTCCAAATTTGAACAGTTTCTAGACCGCGTTTTGCTTGTAGCTGTGTCCAGTGTAGATGCGATCAGCCGTAGTGGTGACAGTCAAATGGAGCAGTAACTAGTTCATTTGTATGTAGATGAATAGGCCGATAGGCCTGAGTGGGTACTCTATGGTGGAGGTACCAGTCAGTGTAAGTGAATGTAATGATCCATCAGGCAATGGACTCACGACACGCTCATTTCGTTCGTCATCGATAGTATATAGCGGCAAGGCATCCTGTAACTCATAGAGACATGGAAGTTCTCCTTGACACGAGCTGTTGTTGGCGCCAATGACAGCTTTTACGAGGGTTGATTCCTCAGACTGGTCCTCCTCAGATTGGTTCAAAACACTCGACCCCCATGTTTTCGCATCCATCTTGACGAACCTACAGTCTTCTAGTATGCTTTTACGTCGAGTAGGTGCTTTCTAGCTACGTAGAGTCGAATTTGAAACGTATGGGGCATTCGCCCGATAATCGGGCCTTTCCGGTTCCCTGAGGGCAGAGCATTGAGGGAGCACTTCACGTCGGCGGGGCGATGACACTTGCTGCACGATTCGCATGCGACTCTGGATCGACCAACTGAATAATATTCGTTTGCAATGCTTCGGCGACATCATTACGATTGAGGAAGTCGATGATGGCAATTATTTGTTGGTGTTATTAGAGGATTGTTTGTTGGACAAGAAATGCTCCGCTCGCCAAACCACAGAAGCTCCGCTTCGCTAATTAGTGAGTGGCTCCTTCCCAACAGTCCCATCGAAAAGAAAAATTCTTAAATTGAGTGAGAGGCCGATGTTTCTTTTGTTTGGATGATTCTATACAGGCGATTTAGTGGTCATGTTTGGTTGAGGTTCAATTGCCATCTTATAATACTGATTAATTTGTTCATCCCCCTATAATAGTCTCCTGTATAACCATCCCCCATCACTCTATCGAGAATGGCCTCCCCAAATGATCAAGTGCCCAGATCTCCCGAGAGGGAGATTGAGAAGGGAGACGATTCAAGTAGCTCAGACGGCGAGCCTAGTCAATTCAATGCAGAGACAGATCCTGATATGAGGATTGAGCAAGACTATGACATTTGTCAAATTGAAACAGAAAAGGAGAGGCAGCAACCACCAGGTGCTCGCTCGGCTCTGGATCGTGTATTGAGTCGTACTTCAGTCGCCGAAAAAGATCCTGGACCTCCTCCAGATGGTGGATTCTGGGCATGGTCGTCAGGTAAGCGCTTCTTGGCCACTTACAGGTACAATAAAGCTGACAGTCTAGCCATTGCTGGTCATATCATGATGCTAAACTCATGGTACGAACTACTTGCCTGTAATCGACTATCAGATGAGCAATACTGACCAATTGTAGGGGATACAATAGCTCCTTTGGCGTCTTTCAGACCTATTATACAAACCATCTTCCCAATCCCGCAAACCAAATCATCTGGATCGGCTCCGTCCAGATCGCCGCCTTGTTCTTTATCGGTACCTTTGCCGGCCGTTTAACTGATGCCGGATACTTTCGCGCTACCTTTGCTGCTGGTTCAGTCCTGACCCTCCTCGGCGTCTTCATGACTTCCCTCAGCCACACCTTCTGGCAACTACTCCTCGCGCAAGGACTATGCACCGGCTTGGGAAACGGCCTCATGTTTACCCCCAGTCTGGCTGTTGTTTCGACATATTTTAAGCGACGAAGGGCGTTGGCTTTTGGCATTGTTTCGACAGGAAGTCCCGTAGGCGGACTCATCTTCCCTTCAATGGCGAGACAGCTCCTCGGTAGAATCGGGTTTGCTTGGACAGTAAGGGCGATAGGCTTGGTGCAGTTGGTAACCTTGATCATGGCGAATTTACTCCTCCGCCCGAGATTACCACCAAGAAAGGCTGGCCCTTGGGTCGACATTGCGTCCTTCAAGGAAAAGGGGTACCTGTTTTTCGCAATTGGCATCTTCTTTGTAAGTTTACTCATTCAAGTCAAGCCAAACACCTGCTAACTCGATCAGGTATTCTGGGGCACATTCTTCCCATTCTATTACATGGCATCCTTTGCAACTTCGCAATTGGACAAGCCCCTGGCGTACTCGGATGCGCTGAATCTTTTACTCGTCGTTAACGGTGTCGGAATCATTGGGCGATCGCTTCCCAACGCCATCGCACATCACTTCGGAAGCATTACATGCATTATACCCGCCTCATTCATCTCAGCCGTCTGCCTCTTTTCATGGCCAGGTGTGTCCACGGTGGGAGGATTGTACGCTTGGGCTAGTGTCTACGGTCTCCTTGCTGGTGCGTGTATGAGCCTGTATCCACCAGCCTTGTCGGACCTAACGACCGATGTACGAAAGCAAGGCGTCCGAATGGGTATGATATGCACAACTAACAGTATCGCGACTCTTACTGGACCTCCGATTGCTGGAATTATCATTCGGCATTATGAAGGGGATTATCTTGGTGCACAGATATTTGCGGGTGTTTCCCTATTCCTCGGAAGCCTTTTTCTCTTCATGGCAAAGCGCTCATCTGCAAAATAGTGATCATAACTTGTCTATCTCTACTTATCTTGGCAATGACATGGCAGCGCATGTGACAATAAAACTGAAGAGCTACGCCTCAGGAAGCATGATGGACTAAATCGTTAGGGTAGCGTTTACCAATTAAATTAGAATTATTAGACTGTTTATCTTTATCCTCTAACATTCAAAGGCCAACTTTTCTGCTGCCTATAAGTAGTAATTCTTTAGGTAGACTTATCAGTCATATTACTTTATCAGCCTTGAGAAGCGAAAACAAGCCAAAAAGAAGGTCGTGTATTGATGATATAATTATAATGATAATCATATTTGGCCACGACAAAGCTTGGTTATCACCACCACGGTCGTCAACGCCACCAGCCAGTACAGGAGAATCAACCCGTTCCAGCCCACTCCCAACTCCTCCACCTCCAACGTCTCTGGACTTCCTCCGGTCTCAGAGGGAAGACGCTGCATTTCCACGTCGCTAGCTCCAGACGACCCTTGACTTCTGTTATGATTTTCAAAATTAGCGATCCACTGATGGAGTCAAAGCGAGGTAAACTTACGATCCTCCCGGGTCCGTCTGGGCTCCCGCTGACGCGGATGCTAGCGCCCCCTGACGACCGGAAGAAGGAGACGTCTTGGGGGAGGAGGTGTTGAGAGCGGGCTGAGGGTTGGTTCTCCCTCGTGGCCGATGGCTATGGCGACTGCGGCGGGTTCGCTGAATGATGATAAAATTGTCCAGGTTAGTATCAGTGACTCAGAGTGAAAGTGTCTTTGAATCAGAGAACACTTACATATCCTTCGTATTGTAAGATATTTTATTGATGTTTTGATGAAGAACAAAAAGGGAAAAAAGGATGGAGAGAATTTGATCAAGTGCATGATCAACTAACATAATGAGAAGGCACGCTCCTGTAGATATCCTGAGCCATTAAGGAAGGTTGATATCTGGTACCTCCTCGATAAGGCAGTTTAATCTACCACCACATCTTGCGACTTCCTACTTTGCACCTCTACCATATCAAAACTCTCTTCACTGTCTCTTCTGTTGTCCAACTCCTTCTTCGGCCATGGCCACAATCCTGGCAGAGGCTCGTCATCCAAGATAAAATTCATTCTATCACCCTGAGAAGCTGCTTCGTAGTAGTAGACTCTGTTGTTGTCGAACCCAATAATGGCGGCAGGAGAGGCGTGATACACTCTTTCTGCCGATAGATGCTCTAATCGAGATCCCACCACGCTATCAAGGGTTTCGGACCGTACTACCAGTTTGCCTGACCACTTGGAATTAATGAGAGTGTAATAACGGTAATAAGTCTTTTGCTGATCTTGAGGGCTGTCGGTCCAGGTAAGGTAGTTCTCATGCACCTTCACATCATCCTGGGACACGTACAGTCCTTCCTTCATCAATCCGACGATGTCTGTAGTGACAATGTCAAGTAAGGCACCCCAGCCTCCATTCAAGTCAAGCTCGAATGCCTCCTCCCCGATGTCGTTGGTATTCGACGCAAAGCTTATGAGGATGCGCCAAGATTCTGGGGGCTGGTCTTTTCCGAATCTGTTTTCACACCATTGGGAAGGTCCATATGTGGGCGAACGGTACTTGGAAGTAGCATCGTTGGCAGGGGGAAGAGACTGGCCAGGTTCGTCTGATTCAGATTGAGGCAAGCGAGAGTATGATTGCTCTGTTGCCCATAGACAGCCGGAAAGCGAATTGAAGAAAGATGACATTGTTGTGGATTTTGTATCTTGACGACAGCGAGAGATTCAAGATTGGACAAGTTGGTGTTACGAAACTGGGAGGAAATCATCTATCCAAGATGGAAGGGCCTTAATCTTTATATAGGGTATCGAATAAAGGTTCAAGCAGAGGGCATTCTTGAACTTTGTCCAGTATTAGACGTTTCGAAATACGGTAGTTAAAAATACCAAGTGTATTAACATAAGCCTTGGGGTATCAGAAAAATTGACCGCTGGAAGCATAAGAGGCGACATTAGCAGGTCACTTTATGCCCTTAAGCTGTAGTTCTTAAACTACTTTTTCTTTATACCCTAAGACTGAGGAGTCTATTTTTTCTGCTACCCAGTAGATAAAAAGCCCGGCTTAAAACCTTGCCAACGTAGGTAGATAATTTGTCTGTTTTGTCGTCTAAGTGAAGTAGCCAATGAGATGGTTTCTGGACAGATCGTGCGTCTTCTTCCACAATCCAACAGTCAGTTGACCCGCGCTAATAAGCGCCAGACGCGCCGGCATGAATAGTATCATGCTTACCCGACGAACCAGCTAGATCACGCCTCTAACTTCACCCCTCTTTCAATCTTCAGCAGTTATTGTTCTCTCTTTCATCCAGCACTCGAAGCTATTTCTGTACCCGAAACTCTATCAGAGATATGCCCTCGCCCTCAAATACAGACCATGGTCAACCATGGTCTGCGCCTCTTAGACGAGTACGTCGCTGGTTCGCTGCCGGAACAGACGGAACAAGTCGTCAACATCGCAAATTATACCTTCTCAACTTTTGGTTTTGCGTCTTTGTTCTATTTTTGACAAGACTTGGATCTGAACTTCTCGCATACCCTTGGCCCAACCTCTTGGTGACTGCCATCTGTCGACATTATTACCAAAACGAAGATGGTCATCATGGAGATCCTTCGCATGAGTACTGTGGCGATGAGAGGGTGATGAGTCACTGGGTATCTATGATTAGACTGATACAGTTCCTCTCACCACTTGCTGGTAAGAGGCAAGAACTTCTATCCTACTTGTGCATTTTCTGACATGTTCCAGCTACTGTGGCACTGATTCCCCTGGGAATGCTTTTGGACAAGGGAAAGGGACGTCTTGCTTTTGCAATCAGCATCCTAAGTACCGTTCTTTACTGGGGATCTATAGCCCTCTTTGGTATTAGCTCGTAACTTTTGTTCAATACTATGACCAGTCTAACGTTTCTGTAGGGTTTGTGCAAGTATTTCCTCTCTGGTGCTTTTATATCTCTCCAATATTTCTACTACTAGGCGGTGGGCCATGGTCAATCAACGCTCTTGTCTTTGCCACTCTAAGCAACGCGGTCAGACCAGGACAAAGGTATGAGTGAACTAATTCATTTCAACTCGAGTACCAGAGAGCTAATTTTACATGCTAGAACCACCGCTTTCTCTTTCCTACAAGGTCTTTCGGGTATTCCTGGTCTTGCAGGCCCACTTCTATATGCCGCATCCATGAGTCCTGACCTCTGGGTTCCGTTTGCGCTTGCTCTTATTATCTACTCTTTAACTCTCTTACCAGCACTACATCTCAAGAACAATAACAATCAACATTGTGAGAACAGCGAAACACAAGACGAAGCGGTACCAGACGAGACTCAGCCTTTGCTTAACACTGGTGATAATGCCGCTCATGGAGCCATTCATCTCAACCAGGGCGGCGGAAGAGGGTTAAGTCAAAAGCTCCACATCTTCACAATATGCTTTGCCTGCTTTTTTGGTTTCTATCTTGCCAAGGGAGCTGTCGTTTATACCACAATTTGGGTCTGGTCAAGATTTGGACATGATATGGCTTACGTATGTTTAAACCCTGAACGATATAAATGCCTGCTGAAACCCTCCAGATGAATGTATTCATTTACATAGAAGCCGTTGTGCTGACCACACTATTTTTAATCGCCCTACCCTTGACCATCTACAGGCTGGACAGAAATTGGAGAGTCGCCAAGAGAGACGCTATCTTGTCTTGTACCAGTATCGCTTGCTGTGCTATCGGTACTTTCATCGTCTTGTTTTCACCGAACCTTGCAGCCGCCATCATTGGATTTATCATTTCGATTTTAGGATACGTCATGCCTGTCTCTTTGCGGTCGTTCCTTGCTTCACAATTAGAGAAGGACTTTTCTGGACGACTATTCGCCGGCATTGCCATAATGGAGACGATCGGTGGTCTCGTCGGACAGCCCCTTATGACAGTCACCTACTACACTGAGAGTGTACCTTTTGTCATATCGCTGGTATGCAATGACTTTCAGATGCCATGCTTGCACAAGTGGAGACAGGCTAACATAAAAATAGGTGACGTATTTGATCATGCTTTTCTTGCTTATCGGGCTAGCAATCAGACTTTGATGTGGCGAGGAACAGTATACGAACACGAAATCTCAGTGACCGGCATCCAAGTCTTGCATCCGGGTCGAGACTTGTCCTAGTATCTTAATCTTGGGTTAATTTATTCAAGCGAAGGAATGGTTTAGTTTCCCTTGTCATCTTTCATATCGTCTTGCTCAACGAGGTTCAACCCATCGTCACTAATAGTTGAAAATCTTGGCTCTACGTTCAATCTTCAACAGAACATGAATATAAGATCAATTGCATATTTCTACGATGTGATATGATGATGAATTCGTATCCCGTTTGATCGCCTCGCATATATTTGGCACACTTTGAAGTTGGGGCATCGAGGGGGATGCTACCTTATGACCTCGGCCACAATGCATGAATCAGATCATGATGTCTCAGTACATGCAGAGTTATCAATTGCCAAGGTTAACATAGTTTAGGTAGTCCAATCAGCCGAAGACCTTTCGAAAACCTAATATGTCGTTGGCGGCTATCTCTGTTCCTCCACCACTAATGATTCCTGTTCTGGCCCCTCTTGCTTTTGGCTCTTGGCTTGAGGCCCAAGAGCCCTCCGGCTTCTTTTACGGCATATCCACGCAGTCCATGAGGTTTCCGTGCCCCTGATCCGTGAAAACTTGCAGGACCAGTGACGTGAGGCATGTACAATAGAAGCAGTCAGTGCGGGTCTACCTTGATACGAATACGCAGTTGATCTAGAAGTTGGTGAAACACCAGAGTTACTACCCTGCACTAGATGACTGGGTCTCGATATTGTTACACATGTTGAAATGGAACAAGGACAAGAATTACAAAGAACATAAGTTGTTCAAAAATAATTAGAATTATTATATCCGCGTACTCGCTTACCTCGCTTTTATAGTCATGAACTGTTACATTGGAAACCCATACGATTCGGAAGATCTACAAGATTCGCTACTATCTAACTGCATCCAGGGATAAATATGCCGTGCGCTTGATGCATCTACCGGTAGTTGTGGAGTCTGTTTTCGGTATCGGGCCCTTGCAAATTCCCGACCGGATAAGATCCGTCTCCGTAATCCAAACAAGTTAAGATCTGCGAAGTCTATACGAAATATCCTGTAGCATAACAGACTGTTACGAAATTGTAAATATATAACATGAACTGAACTCATCCGAGAATTATGTAGTTGGATGACCCAACGCTCAACAGTTATCCTCAATGATGACTGATCTAGATCTCGTTCTGGGCAAGTCCCAGTATGCCCTCTTTTGTGGAATCACTCTTTTCTCCTTTTTCGTTTTGAAGTACTCCCTTCTTGACAACAGTGGGAAAAAGTACCCATACATCAATCCGAAAAAACCATTCGAGTTTTCCAACCAACGTGTCGTTCAAGACTTCATCGAGAACGCCAAGGACATCCTCGTCAAAGGTCGATCCTTGTACAAAAACACACCGTACAAGGCACACACAGACTTGGGAGATGTTCTGGTAATTCCGCCCGAGTATGCCGAAGCTCTCAAGAGTGAACGTAAACTGGACTTTTCCGAAGTTGCCAAGGATGTAAGTATTGACTTGCGTGAGTAACTACACAGGTCCGTGACTGACTATCACAGGATACTCATGGCTATATCCCTGGTTTTGAACCTATTGGGTCCCCGTTCGATTTAGTCCCGCTTGTGAACAAATACCTGACAAGAGCGTTGGCCAAACTGACGAAACCTCTTTGGGTTGAGGCTTCTTTGGGGGTGGACAATGTTCTTGGTAACTCGACAGGTACCTTCAACCTCAACAGTCGCTCGAATGGGAGAAAGAAAATGCTAACACATCATAGAATGGCACCCGATCAACCCTGGAGAAGATATAATGCGAATAGTTTCCCGTATGTCCTCGAGAGTCTTTATGGGCGAAGAGCTCTGCGCGGACGACGACTGGCTCAAAGTGTCAATCGAATACACCGTCCAGCTCTTCCAGACCGCCGATGGTCTCCGTAACTATCCTCGTTGGGCCAGACCCTACGTTCACTGGTTCCTACCATCCTGCCAAAGCGTACGAAGGAAGCTGCAAGAAGCTCGTGACCTACTCCAACCGCATATCGAGCGTCGAAAGGCTGCTAAACAAGAGGCCATTGCTGAGGGACGACCATCGCCTTTTGATGACTCGATCGAATGGTTCGAGAAGGAGTATGATGGAAAGTCAGACCCTGCTACTGAGCAGATTAAACTTTCTCTCGTGGCGATTCACACGACGACTGATCTACTAATGGAGACAATGTTCAACATTGCTATACACCCCGAACTACTTGGTCCTCTGAGAGAAGAACTTGTTACTGTACTCAGTACTGAGGGACTCAAGAAGACATCGTTGTATAACTTGAAGCTCATGGATAGTGTTATCAAGGAATCCCAAAGACTTAGACCTGTCGGCCTAGGTAAGTGACGTGTCTTGCTTCTGCAGATGTACCATGCACTGACAACCACATCAACAGGCTTGTTCAGAAGAAAGGCCCTGGCAGATATAAAACTTCCTAACGGCGACGTAATCAAGAAAGGCACCAAGATAATCTGTGACACGACTCATCAATGGAACTCCGAATACTATCCAGACGCCTCCAAGTTCGACGGGTACCGCTTTTTGCGCATGCGCCAGACGCCCGGCCAGGATAAACACGCGCATCTCGTCAGCACCAGCCACGATCAAATGGGTTTCGGACATGGCATACACGCTTGTCCGGGCCGCTTCTTTGCCGCTAACGAGATCAAGATTGCATTGTGTCATATGCTGCTTAAGTACGACTGGAAGATGCCTGAGGGCGTTGTGCCCAAGTCGAAGGCGCTTGGAACGACTCTTCTGGGGGATCGGGAGGCGAAGTTGATGGTTAAACGGCGGGAAGTGGAAGTCGATATTGATGCTATTGAGGGTAACGAGTGATGGGATTGGATGAGACGTGGTACATTTGCGCGATTCTAATAAAGTTATACTTTGCAGGTAAAAAGTCAGGTAAATTGCCTAAGTAGCTCACAACATAAGGAATTTATTCACTTTATGACTGCACAGTTTGTCAACTTGAACGATGGTCTTGTCGCTACTGATAATTATGTTATAATTATATTAGTTTTTTATAGTAGTGCACCACCACTACCGCGAGCATCATCAGTATTAGCCAGGCGTAGACCAGCCGCCCAAGCCTTTCATCCGCCCTTATCTCAATTGTACTCTCCCGCGCCTCGAGACACACCCCGGTCACTGGGGAAGAACGCCCCGTCTCGACGGTTTCCGAAGGGTTTCTATCAAAGTACATAAATGTTAGCTTCAGTCTCTTCCCATTGCTAGGCCAAAGGAAGATAGATAACATGAACTTACCGGTCCGTGGGGGCAGGGGCGTCTCCAAATCCCCGGAGTGTGGAGGCGCGAGGAGAGTATTGAAGGGAGGATGATGAGGCTTGGGCTGGCTGGTTGGCTGGCCTGGCCGCTACTGACGGTGGGTGCGGCGGTGGTGGTGAAAGCGATTGTAATATTATTCAAGTTAGTGTCTGTGATTCAGAGTGTATGATGTCTGCGATTTAGAGTAGACTCACAAATTTCTCATTTTGAAAATATTTGACTGGGGAAGAAAAAGAAAAAGAAAAAGAAAAGAAAACAAGATGGAGGAAGATTCGATTAAGTGCAGCATAAATTGATTCAATGGGAAAGCGCTCTCTCGTAGTTTCAGATCAATTGTAGGAAGTTGATAACCACCCAAGAAGGAAGTTCATTCTATTGTCCTGTCTAGGTAGTAACTTCCTTCTTCATGTCTCTACTATATCAAAGCTCTCTTCAGCCTCCCTTCACAAAATGGTCGAATGCCTCCTTCCCGATATTATCGGTATTTGATGAAAAGCTTAGGAGAATACGCCGAGGTTCTGGGTGCTGGCCATTAGTTCCGAATGTGTTTTCGTACAATTGGGAAGGGCCATGTGTTAGCAGACTACCCATATTGGAAGTCATACCGTTGCAAGGAGAAAGAGACTGGCCGGGTTCGCCTGATTCAGATTGAGATAGGTAGGCGAGAGTATGATTGCTCTGTTGGCCATAGACAGTCGAAAAATGAATTGAGGTTTTGGTATTTTGTAATAGTAAGGGGTTAGTAGAATTAGGCCCCTTGGTGTTACGAAAAGGTTAGAAAATTATCTGTCCAAGATTGTCAGCCTTTGGTCCTTGTATACCTAGGTAAGTGAAATAATTTAACTAGGAGGTATTCTTTGACTTTATTCAGAATTGGACTTTTCTAGATGGTTAAGAGCACCAACTTTATCAATAAATAACCCAATGTAAAACCTCGAAAGTCAACTCAGATAATCTTTCTGACAGCCTATAGTTGAATTACCAATGTCTTTGTCTATTTACACGAGTTGCCGTCACTCATACATAGACAGCCTTGGTAACGGTAGGCGTAGGTGCCTCAACAGTAACAGCAGAAGCGCCAGCACAAGAACAAGCAGTCAGATAGCGAGTCTCCCCCGAGCAAGCACTAGCATAGGTAGGAACAGACTTGGTGACATATACAGTGCTATACTTTTAACTTAGCTCAGACGATCAATGGAGATTGTTGATGATTACTGACCTAGCCTCAGGAGTGATGGTCACCTTGAGGTAAGTTTCACACTCAGCCTTGTAAGAGGCAACGACGGCAGGGCCACGGAAACCAGGAACGACAGCACGAGCGCAGTTGTCACCGCACTGACCGGTACGTTCCTGGAGTTCCCTGGGGATGTTGACAGCCATGACAGGGGCCAAGAGAGCGGCAATGATGGCGAACTTCATGGTGGAGGGGTCGGTAATTTTCAAAGTAAGATGGGTAAGAGTTGAGAGGAGTATCGTTTGAAGGTTATTTCTAACCAAACCATGCCCAGGAACTCGGACAACTATTTGTATCTGATTCAAGATTCAGCTGAAATCCAGCTCTACTCGAACAAACATCTCCCCCTGAACGACGTATTACCTAGCACCATAGCAAGTCTCAACGGCTTCAATAGATACATTCTAGCACCGAGAGTCTATTGCCATCCTTTCTCAGCCTTGCATGTTTTTCTTTGCTAGCGCATGGTTGGTTAACGGTTGGGCGACATCTAAACGCCACAGGCCCAATCGTCAAAGGGGAATCAGCTGTTAGCGACGCATCTAGATCCCTATGAAGCAGGGGCACAGATCCATTAATAGGATAGTGTAACGGTGAAAGCGCGGAATTGGGCTATGTTTGTCAGAGCGCATGATAGATTTGGATATGAGCTTTGTTGTAGAGGTGGAAAGTAAGGGCAGACTAGTTGAAGTCATTCCGGATTTGGACTTTTGTCTTGTCGGCCAGAGCTGAGGTATTGGATGAGGTTAAGACGTTGGGGGACGAACTTAAAAGGGTAAGGTGAAGGCATACAGGGGCTTAGTATCGGGCACTGTAGTTAACGGAGTCAGCTGCATAAGGGTGCACGACGTATGGGCGGTATCGGGGAACGCCAGCTTCATGGTCAGTCGTGAGCCCATCGAGACGGTGGGGTTAGAAGTGGAAACGAAGTTGAACAATAGGCCAGATTCATGATGGTATCATAAGAGAAGGGTAAAATAAAAAGAATATGGCTATATATCTAAACTACCTATATAACTACCAAGAAGTATAAAAAGAATGTTACGCATAAACGAAACATCGACTTGACTATCGTGATGGGGTAGATCGAGTCAATCAACCTCCACCACTCAAACAATTTGTTGTTGAAAGATCTTGCGGTCCATAACAGAGAACCATACCTATTCTCTTTAACTAAACATCCATGCCATCGCGGATGCGCAAAAAGTTGGCATATCGCTCCAAAGTCCAGCGACGGGACGCCTTACCCCAGACCGCCATGGGAAGAGAAGTCATGATGATAACAAAGCTCAGAACACCAAGTTCAATGAAGCAGTTCTGCAGACCTGTATCAATCCAATAACTACACACAAATGTGAAGATGGTAGCGATGCTGTTATTGATAACAGCCACGCCTACCATACCCTCAAGGACCATGTCCGGGTAACTGTCAGCGAGGTATGTGATGCTAAGATCACCAGCGCAGCCGTACCCAAAGCCGATGAAGCCAAGAGCGACGTACGGAATGGGCCAGTCCCAATGCTGAGCTGATCCAATGCCGAATAGCCACATACCCAAGGGAAAGATGACGACGCAAAGAACCATGAGGTAGAGACGGTACTCGGCCTCCATGATACCATTGTTGCGCTTCGCCATCCAGAGAATGAACTTGTCACTACAGTATCCGCCGTAGAAACATCCGATGATACTTCCAATCAGAGTCGGAATGTTCATGTTGGCAACGGCAGAGTCGCTGTAGTTGTACGGCTCATTCACCCAGTAATCCTCCTCAACTGTGAGGTAGAAAGACAGAGCAATGTTCTGCATTCCCCATTGTAGACCAGCGAACCAAACGGCGGGAAAGGTAAAGACGCGCATGGTATGCCATAGGCGATGGACATACTGCACCAAGCCCATTCCGCGCAAGTTGGACGCTGGTGTGATGAGGGCAATGCGCTGCCAGTACGACTTCTTGCGCGCGAATGAATCGGACAGTCTGTTGCGCTCAACCTCTTCACGGCGTCGCGTAGAAGTATCCCGTGCGATCGCAACCTCCTCGTCTAGATGTGGAGATAGTCCCTTCTCCGTCGCATCCTTCGTGACGACGTGATCGCCCTGATGGATTGGGGTGGGCTCAGGAACACCCTCAAAATTACCATGGGCGGCATCACGCTCTGCAACTCGGTCAAGATCGATATAGCGACCGCGCTCGAAAGCAGTCTCCTCAAGACCAAAGTAGAAGAGAAGCAGAGTGAAGCCCGAAGCAATAGCACCCATGTGGCCAATCCAGCGCCAGCCAATGTTCTCAGCCAAGTGACCACCGATTAGAGGTCCAACATAGGTACCGACTGTCGTCGCAAGTGTATACATACCCAGCGATGTGCCATTTTGGTGCTCGAACCAAATATCCAGCAGGGAAAGCTGAACAACGGCCTCTGCGACAGACTCAGAGGCCCCAACGAAGAGCTGAGACCAGACCGTATCAGAAGTGTTGGTCAAGTGACCGAACCAGATATTTCCGATAAGACCCCATACCGTTCCGACCAAGTATAAAATACGTCGTCCGTAAAGATGAGTCGCTGGCGAACTCAGAAGAGTCCAGTATCCAATCGCCACAAAGAGTACACCCGCGCCAGTGTTGAACACATCGTAGCTGATGCCGTACTTCTCGTTGACACCCACACTGGCAGCGCCGGCAACATTAGATGTAGCAGCAGTCAGAGTGACAATGTAACACACCAGAAACGAGTGCCAAATCTTGCGCGCAAGACTCCAGTTCAGCGGATCGTTGGGGGACTTTGTCGGAGGAGGGACGAGGATGACATCGCCATGCTTTTCGACACTGGTATCACTTGAGGCGACGCTTGCTCTTTCGTCGGCGAACAGACGTCTTGTGCCCGGGAGGACTTCATCGAGATCGCGAGTAGACGGAACGGCCATCCGCGATGATTTGCAGAGGTGATTGGTTTATGTGGAGTTTTCGTATATATACGTATTTGTATCGTCTTAGGGCAAACGGCTCCTCGGAGCCGCATTCACTCGCGTTAAGGAGGATAGGTATGGGTATGGAGGATATCGATCGAGAGTCAGCAAGACATTGTACGATATGCCAAAAAGTTGGAAAGCCTGTAGTACAGAGTAAGTAGTACAGCAGCAGAAGGGGGGGGGGAGTGAATGGGAATGGGATTTTTTCCCTCTTATAAGTATGGTGCAAAATCCCCATATAATCTTTTTCGACCTATTTTGCGATCCCCACCAGCAGGTTCGTCAAAGATAAATAAACCCTGGTCGGGCCGCAATGGGGAGACCGGAGCGATGCCTCAATAGGTAGAAGCGTTGCAAAATTGTGGTACGTTTGGTACGGGTTGGATCGACGGGTTTAAGCTGTTGATGTCATGGTAGACGAGCGAAGGTGTGCAAGACGGCACACCACTTCCGTGGGGAGATAAGGTCGCGTGCATAGACACTGGACGATGAATGATCCTTGATTGTCAATAACGACTTTTTGGCCATATGTTTCGGCAATTCTATTGCTTTACAGCGTTGAACATGGTGTGGTCTTCAGACTTGACCTGTCGCATACATGCACAAGAAAGAGATCCATGACGGTTTTTGCCGTGTTGATTTCGCGAGGAATGCTTGATGCGCCGCCATTGACGAATGGGCTTAGCGAAAAGCTTAGTCACCCGATAAAAACACAATTAACCAACAGTTGGTTAGTCTACACGGCAATATGAAAGACTTCTAATTGCCACAGACTAAACTTTAGACATTCTTTAAATATCCCTACTCCGTTGTATCCGTTACTCTAATATGGCCATTTTCGGACTGCACAACTTGCCTCCTTCATTCGCGCACGGAACGTAACAAAATGTCTCATGGTCAAAGCCTCCTACAACCTAGGTTAAGGGCAAGGATTGTCGCAGCCTAACGGGTATTCAAGGAAAAACCTGACGATGAGCTCCTTGAAATTTTTAAATTAAACGGAGTTGATGTAAGCGTTGTCTTGATTTTATTTCCAATATCGTATCGCTCTCGTCAGATGGCTTAAATGTCATTGCTGTGGTATCAAAAATGTCCTGTGTTCCCATGATCCCATCTCAGCTCCAGACCTACACCATCAAAAAGTCGACGTTCAAATCCTTGAGCTTCTTGACCCAATTCATATACCCTTCGCCTTCAGTATCATTCTCCCAGAGAATCTGCAGCGTATCAATCGCAGAGTACAAAAAGCCCCACGGGCATATTGCAGCCACCATCTTTAATCGATCCATCACCCACGCCCGGCTCTCCGGAGTCCTTGCCGTCGTCCCATAAATAAAGGTGGGCCATCCCGTGGCTTTGAAGTTTGGGTCCTCGTCAGGTAACGGTAAGAGCGTGTCATAAAGATCCTGGATGAGACTTTTGCAAACTTGGTCTGGCATCCTAGTGCGCAGCGCAGGCGCCGACTGGATGATGTAGAGACATGTTGCTAGTCTGTGCGCGGAGCCCGTTCGGCAACTGCTCCAGAGAGCTACTTCGTTGGAGTCGGGTACTCTGTCCTTTGCCCACTTCAAAACGTCAAGGCGTTGCGCGCGGTCCAGCAAGTTCGTGAATCCCATCAAAGACTCTTGGCTGGAAACAGCTCCTTGCGATTCGGAATGTAGTAGCTGTGCCGTTTCGCGTAGAATGTCGAGAACTTCGGGCGGACAACAAAAGAAGGAGTTGTCGGTCCTAGACAGTGTCGCCTTAACTTGATCCGGGGCAAAAGACAACGCTTGAGTGCCTGGTGTTGATGGGTTGAAAGATAAGCTCAAAGTGCAGTAGCTGTTTTAATACCAGTTAGCCACTAGTTTGCTACAAATCAGGACTCTCCACTTACACATAGCAGTCCGCTACTATGTAGTCTCGCAATGTTGTATCGGAGCTTGCGTATGGTTCAGTCATATTCAAAAGCTTCTTGGCTCCTTCAAGGTGAGGCCTCCAACTTTGCCAACCAGATTCAATAAGCTCTGAGTTGATGAGAAACAAAACAGTAGCAAGAATCACATCAGCTCCAATAGTGTCAATATTCCGTAGTGCTTCGGGCATCATTTGCAATCCTTTTTGTTTGGCGACGAGAGCGTCCATGAGTAATTTCTTTGGCGCTTCTTTTCTCGTGTATGAGTTGGGACCCAGCCAGGGTCTTGACAAGTTGCACATATGAGCAGCAGACACCGCGATGATAATTTGTTGCAAAAAGGCATGTTCATTTGTGAGTTGCAAAAGGTTCAGATATGGATTCCTGTTGCTTTTGGTCTGTTCATCACCAACGAGATCCATGCTGACTCGAGTTGAATCTGAGTTACGGATTAGCATTTTAGAAGACTGGCGTCTCGAGTGAAGTCGTACAATAATTCAAATACCACCGTTGCGAATGTGTCATGTCTTGAAACAAAGGATCACAAAGTGTCCATGGTGAACTTGGCGAAGTTGGTGAAGAAGGTGAGGGGGGAGACCACGGTTGAGTCTTATCTTGAAGGACGAGTTGATTTTCTTGAGATGACGCTAAGGCCCGAGACCCAGATTCGACAGCTTGTGCATCGAAGGAGCCCATCTGCATATCAGGTATTTCAGGTGACACTTCAGTGACTTGTGCTTCGCCCTGTTTTGGCAAACGACACACCGAGGCACTGGAGCTCTGTCCAGCCAATTTTCCTCGCGTGGCAACTGATCCAGTCCATAGGAACAGGCGGCCGTAGCCTAAACACTCAACCCCCCTTGAAGTGCATTTAGAGCAGTGAGGGATAGACTTGTCGCAGCGTAATCGAGCACGACGACAGCTATGGCAGGCTTTCTTAGCGACTGGAGCATTACTAGCAGTGATAGTTTCGCTGTCGGGGGGTGAAGATGACATTGGATATCTGAGATGCAAGTTTCAATTGAAGCCTTTGCTCTCCCTTTTGCTTATTAAGGGACCAAAGACTCGGAGGCGATTCGGAGTTAAGCAAATGAGCGTAGAATAAGCAGGTCAAGAACAGCGGTTTATAATGAGAAAGACTTTGTTTGTTGGTGGCAGAAATGGATATAATTTTGTTGATCTTGTAATCCTGGCTCCTGGTTTGTAAGATGTTTGGTTAATTTGAAGCCCAGGCTACAGAATGTCTAAGAATTGAGGTTGATAAGTGTATGCCTCATTTTCAAGGCCCCTATCTCGGCTTACGCGGGGACATTCCAGGCCCAACACTAAAAAATGGCCTAACTGAATTGGCTAGCCGACGGTATATTCCTTGGTCGCTGGCATGGAGTAGAAGCATTAAATAATGCAAATAAATAGTACAAAAGAAGAAACGCATTATGGGGTGAAATATTTCAATATATTATGGACGAAGAATATCAATTGTATGTAGTGAAACATTATCAGCTGTATCTGGAATCACACAACATCTATCCACTGAGACATTGTGAAATAAACACCTGCCTCTAGTGAAAAGCTGCACTGCCCCTTCATATGATGGAGGGTGAATGCGAAAACTTAACAAAGATGAAGCATCTTATTGGTGCATGTGGAAATGACGATATTCAGACGTAGGTGTCTTGAAGATAAACCTGTGTTCCATAGGTAAGTTGCAGACGCTATCATCAACACTTCTTACCATCATGACCAGATTCACTACTAGACCCAGAACCATCCATGTATCTCCCAAAGACATATAGCTCAACATCTGAAATATCATTTCTAAATTCCTTCGCAACAGTCTGACGAAAGTAAACTCGCTTCGCCCACTTGTAGCCCTCCGCTCCAGCAAAGAATACGCCAACAGCAATAAAGATAACACCCCATTCCCAGTCAATGGGACTATGCATAAAGACCACCCGGTTGATGACAGGGATATACAGTGTAGGTGGTATAAAGACAAAGCTGAGGGTAACAGACCAAAACAGGAAAGGGTTTTTCCAGAGCCTCTGCCCCCAGGCCTTGAAACTACCACCCTTTTCGAAGATCTCGGCAAAGAATGAGCGCCGAAAGTCAACAAGTTGCCATGCGAATAAGAGAAAGTCCCACGTCATGGTTGCGAAAGCTGTTGACCGGGCAGAAAATACTGTCTCGCATGATTTCGAGTAGGTACTGTTGCAGTCGTGACCGAGACCCTGGCTGTTGAAGCCGTAAAGAACAACGACAGAGGAGCCGAGAATGCTGATGAGCATCAGGATACCGTAAACTACCAGATCAACGAGGAATTCGGGAGTAAAAACCCCGTATTTGAGCTATAATCTGGTTAGCCTTGACTTTTGACAGATATTGTCTGATTTACTTACACTATGGGGTGGTCGACGAAGAATGTCAGGACTGGCTTGCTCAAACCCCAGGCCCGTCTCGGTGAAAGCTCCAGCGACTAACAACATCCAAATGATTTCCACAGGTGTTATGAAAAAGACAGAAACACCATTTTCATCTTTAAACGCCAATCCTGTGAGAAGGCAGATAACAAATGCAAAGTTGGCAGCGAGCACATGAAGGATGAACTTTTGAATATTATCAAAGATTCGACGTCCTTCTTCGATGGCATTGAGAATTGAAGCAAAGTTATCATCTGTCAGAATAATATCGGAAGACTCCTTGGCGACATCTGACCCGTTCAGGCCCATAGCGATACCAACGTCTGCATGTTTCAAGCTAGGGCTGTCGTTGACACCATCTCCTGTCATGGCAACGTAGCGACCACGGCGGTGTAAAGCCTCAATCATACGTACTTTTGTCGTAGGCGAGCAACGAGCTACGACTAGAGGCAACTCGGGCAAAGCGTCAAGTTCAGCGTCAGAGAGATGATCAAAGTCATGAGCCGCCATAACCATCGTGTCTGCGATGTCGGCACGTACCATCTTCATCCTCTCCTGAGACGGGATGATAGACACATCGGCAGCGATGGCTCTTGCAGTCTCTGGGTGATCACCAGTGAGCATGTGTACACTGATGCCAGCTTTCTGGCACATCTGCACACTGTCCCGAGTTTCTGGCCGAGGAGGATCATAGATACCAATGAGGCCGCGGAAAACAAGGTCTCTCTCAAAGTCGGACCGATCTATCACGGATGATAAATCTTCTGGTAGAACTGGAACGGGAGATCTACTAGCCAGGGCAAGAACTCGAAGACCGAGACGGGCGAAACCTTCCATGTTTTGCAAAATGGATTCATGGGCGGCTGCATCAAGACGTACGATATCTCCAGAGACTTCCATATATGTACAGCTGCTCAGGACACGCTCGACTGCACCTTTGGTGAATATGTACAACTCGTTGGACACTGTGTCCTGAAATACGGCCGACATCTTCTTAACATCAGAGTCGAACGGGAATTCCACAAGTTGTCTCCATCGCGAGTTAGGGCCAGAAGACAACGACATTCGGTTCCAGTTGAAGCGAGAGACAAAGACCTGTATGGCAATTTCAGTTGGGTCGCCTTGTACAAGCCACTCTTCAGGGCCACCATCCTTGCTTCCTTTCTTGACAACGGCCAAGTTTGCAAGCGAAGCGATGTTAAGATAGTGCTTGAGAGTTTCAATGGCGTTAGGCTCTTCCAAGGGATTTATCGTATGTGACTTTGACTCTTCACCAGGAGTAGCTAGCTCTGTTGGCTTGACGGGGGTATAATCGATGTCGCCGACTGTGGGATTGTATGGTTCATTCGTTGAGGCGACAGAGTAAGTGCCGTGTCCAGGAAGCCAAGCCATTTTGACGACCATCTTTCCTTGGGTGAGAGTACCGGTCTTGTCGGAGCAGATGTCTTATCATAATGTTAGCTCATACAACCTTCAAATGGCGTCGACAACTTTGTTTGTTACTTACTGGTAACGCCGCCGAGAGCCTCCAAGCTCTGCATATTTCTTACGACGACCTTCCGACCCACCATCTGCTTCGTTCCGGCTGCCATCGTAATTGTCAACACCAGGATCAGAGAAACAGGAAGTGTTCCCACAGCTGTCGCGACGGCATAGATGATGACATCTTTTCGAGGATCAAATCCATTGGCTGCTAGGACAATGATAGCACAGACGACAGCAAAAGCAAAAACATAGAGGAACAGTTGCGAAAGCTTTTGTTGCAATGGAGTTCCCACGTTAACACCTAAGAACTCGCCAATGATATCGGCGACGGTCAGAAGCCACTTCGTAACATGAGCACCAAATGATGCTTTACCATTCTCGTCTCTGGTGACCTCTCGCTTCTTCCGTCCAGTGTCCTTCAAGGCAGCTGCAATAGCTCCAATCTCAGTATAAGCTCCAGTGGCGAAGACGACACCCTTTCCACGGCCTTTTGTGACAATTGTGGAGCTGTAGCAGACATTGAGACGGTCGCCAGGTCCTGTATCATCATCAAATTGGAACGTAGGGGCTTTCCGAACGGGTAACGACTCTCCTGTAAGCAAAGCCTCGTTAGACTCAAAGTTGGCGACTTCGAGCAGCCGTATATCAGCAGGCACAGAGTCACCCATCTTGAGGTCGATGATGTCGCCCGGTACGATTTCGCTCGTTTGGATCGTCAAGGTCTTTCCATCTCGAAAGACGTTTGTTGTAGGCTGGCTTAACGACTTGAGAGAGTGGACGGTTCGAGCGGCTTGAAGATCCTGGAAGAAACCGATAACGAGGTTGAGAAGGATGATAATGGCAAGAGCGCCGCCTTCTATCCAAGCTTGTATACCAAAGCTAGCGGCCAAAGCAAGGATGAGCACCTATGTGAGTCAGTCAAGCCCATGGATTACTGTTTTTGATACCTACCAAAGTCATGCAGTTGCAGATCTGGGCGATGAAAATCTTGATGGGCTTGACACCCTCTTCCTCGCCGAGATCATTAGCACCATACTCAACAAGCCTTTGAGACGCCTCGGAGGCATTCAATCCAGTATCGGGGTTCGTGCTGAGCTCTTGAGCCACTGTATCTGCTGGGAGAGCATGCGCCGGGCGCGACAAGGGCTTGTTGGATTGTCCAGACATATGACTCTCCATTTCTGGAGGTATCTGTTTGGGCATCATAGTGAACGACTTGACCAGCTGTGTTAAGTAAAGAATGACTAGGAAAAAGAAATGGATATTTTGCAAATAAAGGAACCAAGATACGTCTTGGGTTGAACCTTGTCGGTGAAATTTCCCTCGAGATGGTTCAAGATTAAACTGACAACACAATCTTAGATATACTTTGAGATAACGCAAGTGAAGTTACAGTCTTGGGTTTATATTCAGTTTGTATGGAGATGCCAAGAAATATGCTTTGGTGTCCTAATCCAACTGAAGTAATTCTTACCGTGTTGAGATTTGCGTAAGAAATGGGTCTCATTTTGAGGAACAACGTAGAAGAATGGAAACATGAAAGAATGTCTTGGCAACCCCGGACCCCGAGAAGCCCATCTTCCGGTTTCTGTCTCTACTCTTCATACATGATATTTACTGCCGGTTCTTAGTCTTGGTTCCGAAGCAATGTCGTGCCAGGGAGCCACCGTAATTGAAAAGAAGCCCGAGATTGGTCAACGGGAACATTCTCATATTGACTTGAATAGCGAGAATGTATTAGTGTATAAAATAATGTTTCCATTGGATGAGAGCCATTCGAGGGGGCTGAAGATGTCGATCCATCGATGTGCTCTCTGTGAGTTGCCCAAAAGGGTATGTGATAGCGGGACAACAGGGCTTGGCGAGGAAAGTAATTTGCATTTTAAGGTTATTCCACAGCAAGTGGATAAATAATACGAGTTCGAGCAACAGAAGTCGGTGTATCTTTTGATAAGGGTAATAATCTCCTGTTGATAATTTGTTCTTTTACAATATTGGTACAATTCAACTTTGTTCTTATCGATAGCGCGAGCCTGAGTAGTAACCGTGAAAAAGGTTCTTACACCACGTCATTGTTCCTCAAACTTCATGTTGCTCTTTCCTTGCTTCAACCAACCAACCTATCATGCTTAATAATACACAAATGTCAACCTTACGCCCTTCATCAAGTATCTAGGAATAATCATAACGAATCGTCAAAACGCATTACAGCATATTTTAAAAGAAACATTGTTAATACTTCACTTTGCCTATTTGTTCACAAGATATCATGGTCACTCTTCCATCACCTTTCAGCGACATCGATCGTGTCCAACTGTTGTTCAATCGACCTACTGACATTGAACTACTATCCCGTCTCGCAGAGTCCGTCAATAGCGATGTCAAGCTATGGATAGCTCGTGAAGATCGCAACTCAGGTCTTGCATTTGCCGGAAACAAAGTTCGCAAGCTCGAGTATGTGCTAGCAGATGCTCTCGCAAAGGGAGCAGATACTATCGTGACCACAGGCGGCATCCAGTCGAACCACATGTGTCAAACTTCTGCTGCTGCCGCTCGGCTTGGTCTAAGAGTGAGTGTAGGCTATCTTGACGAGGACGGCCATAACTGACTAATTTCAAAGGTCGCTCTCTATCCTGCGGATCGCGTTGCCTCGAATGACGCCGAGTACAGATACTTGGGCAACATACAAGCGAACGCCATTCTCGGTGCTGAGACATTTCCGCCCGATACTACTGAAGAGACTGTCATCACAAATCTTAAAGAGCGTGGCCGAAAACCCTACTCGATTCCTCCCGGAGCCAGCTCTCATCCCCTTGGTGGCCTGGGCTATGCTCGTTGGGCGTTTGAATTGCTAGAGCAAGAAAAGATGATCGGTGTAACCTTTGATGTCATTGCTCTCGTGGCAGGGTCTTGTTCTACCCTTGGAGGTTTACTCGCAGGATTAAAGCTTGCGCAAAAAGAGCAAGTTCCAGGTTCCAAGAAACGCCTTATTGGATTTTCAGTCTTGCACAAGTCCCAAAAGGATGCCGAAGAATTGGTTCTCAAGATAGCCAAAACTACTGCATCAAAGATTGGAATATCTCCCGACGAGATTACTGCAGATGACTTTGAGATTGATGCTTCCCATCTGGGTGATGGGTACGGGCAACTCAACGACCCCACAGCTGAGGCGATGAAGAAGCTGGCAAGGATGGAAGGTATCTTGACTGATCCTGTCTACACTGGAAAGGGATTCACCGGTTTACTTGATCTTATCAAGACAGACCAGTTGAACGGTAAGAATGTTTTGTTTCTTCACACGGGGGGACAGGCTGTTCTCTCAGCTTATCCAGGGCTACGGGAGTAGCCCCATGTTCTTTAAAACTGCATCTCATTCTAGACTAAGGATGGATTCATACTCATTATAATTATACAATATCTGCGAAATTTCTACAACCATTGCTCTAAATACCAAAGACTGCCATTTGATCTAAGCTTCAAAGCACAACCCCATATCCTTTACCAAGTCTTCAGCCCGGATGTCGATACCTCCCGTCCTCGTATCTTCAATACCGAAGCCCAGAAACATCTCGTCACCAATGAACCCATGGTACTTCTGCTCTTTACTCTTCCAACTCATCGAAGTAACATAAAACATGTCTGAAGTCGACTTTTCAGGATACTGTTTCCGACCATGAATCCATATTGGTTTCTTGGACAGGGCGTGGACTTCAAAGGGAGCCCGTTGTTTGAAGAGCATAACGTATGGTTCATATACGGCGTGGTAGTCAAAGTAGGACTTGTGCTGGTATATGACCATGATGAAAGTGTTTTCATCATTCGGCACGCACATTGGTTCGTCCCGTCGACACATTGTGATTAAGAGGGAATTAGTTGTCTGATGGACAGACTCAAGATCTGATGTGAGTTTGGGAAGATATTTGGCCATGCATTGCTCATCGCCCGTTGCAGCAGGAGCAAGGTCAGGGCCAGCAGAACCATCAGCATTCGTCTGAGAAAACACTCTCTTAGGCGCAATGTCGTAATGAGTATACATGCTGCCACTAGAGTCCCAGAAGAGAAAAAAGTTCTTCTCCATGGGTCTCCATGGCTGTGGCCTTTGAAGCTCAGTGCCTACTCTGAACTCGCTAAGGTTTGCCATGTCGCCTGGCCAGCTGACGAGCGTGCGAAAGTCTTGCACAAACTGACCCAGGCAGGTGAACAACGAGTTTGTGCCATAAGTAGTGTAGGGCTTCTCAGGGCCATAGAAAACGCGTCCATCGTGAGGACCCATGCTCATATGGAAATATAACAAGTCGCCTTGACACTTATTGCCTCCTATAGTAGGAGTAACTGGAAGCGTTACTGCATGGGTAATACATGTAAGAACATCATCTTTGAAGGCAGCATTGCACACAAGCTCTGCAAACCAGAGTGAGTTGCCACCTTCTTGTAGCCATTGAGCCACGACGATCCATGTGTTATCGAGGGTTGGATGCGGGATGACGTTTGGGTTGAGCGCAGTGAAACCTTCGAACTTTATCTCAAAGAACTTTTTATCTTTTGTAGATAGTGAGAAGAGTTCATTGTGCGTTGAGCTTATATCTTGAGGAATGACACCCTTTCCGAATGGACTATCGTCTTGCGGGGCAGGTTCTGTCTCTACCTCAGGCGTTGGCTGAGAATCTGATACATGTGTTGACTCTTGGTCAGAGAGAACCTCTTCAGTTTTTGATGACTTCTTGAGCTGAGAAGGAACCCAGTCTTGAACGCCAGCGGGGTCAAGATAGAGTTTCAGAGCAACAATGATGAAAAACAGGACTGGGACGACAAAGAGCAGAAGCTTCCGCGAGTCTCGGATGAGCATCTTAAAAACGGAAATCTGCAGATGCAGAGACAAGAGAATGTGTTGGACAATGGATCCAAATACGTATGACGAGGCCGAGTAATGCTACAGTTAATTCAACCGTTCCTATATGCGCATGCGCCGTGTAACATTCAACCATTCCTCATTTGAGCCACACTCCGAAAGAAGAGCAGGGTATATGAATTGAGAGTAGTCATTTTTGCGGAGGATGAGAGCGCAAGCTTAGAAAATCTTGGTGAGTGACTATGGCGGGGAAGATATCGGTAAACTAACTCAACCAAAGAGCCAATTGTTGACCCTGTCTTTTTTATCTTGGTCATTAGGAACTTCAGCTGAAGAATTCCCCTAGATTGATGGAGAAATGCCTTGGCAGTTCCTGATTGTGACATTCAATGTGGCTGCAATTCGACGTCGACACACAATCATATGCATGCCGAGGCTTTTTTCTAGTAGGTACTTTTTGACTTGATGCGGGGAGGCGCTAATGTAATGTCATGCTGGTTAATGGCGCAGGTTCCTGAACAAGGGAGTTTTTGTCTGATCTTGGAGGGTTGCAGATCTTAATTGGGGTAAGGTAGTGTTTTGCGGCGTAGAAAAGAGGCTGGGCCTGATGAATACGAAGCGATGTCTCGTGCCTTGTAGAGCGCTTCATGGGTTGGTTAGATTCACAGAGGATGAGAGGCGATTCCAAACTAGGAGATATCGGGTATCTGCATATCGAATCTTGTTCAGCTGCTGTCATCGCAAGTCGAAGCAGCTGAAGACCATGATGGCAATGCACAGGAAAGGCACACACATGTCATCGAATTAAGGTTGATTTATTCTGCATCTACAACAATACTGTACTTCAATGTCTAGCCTGTTTGCTAATTGGATCTCCCAAAGCCTTCTTGTATAGCCAGGCTGCAAACTTGACACTGGGCGTATCAAGAGCCCTTGTCACAACGTCAGCTAATCCAAATGTCAAAGGCACAAGGATCAGCTGAGGCAGTAAGAACGCCAATTCCAATCCCATGGGTCCCTTCGTTGACAGAGGCATTTTGTTCGCCCAGTGAGGAATATTCTTCATCATGTCGTCGTTCTGCCATCCTGCAGCCATGTATAATCGTTCTCCAACAACCCATAGAATTGGGCCATGGCAGAGATACAAGGCGTATGAGATGTGACCCAGATACTGGCAGAATCTTGTTTCGAAAAAGCTCTTGAGCCAAAAGATTCGAGGGATTGAGGCTACCAGGAACACAGCTGCGTAAAACAAGTAGAACCATTTATAGTCGTAAACAGCTTGCGGCTTGAACCACGAAAGGTAGTAGAAACCTCTGTTCTTGGCGAGTTGCTCAACATTGCTGTTCTCAGATGGCACGCCTCCCAGGAAGAGACTGAAAACAAGGAGGTGGTAAAAGATAAACTCTTTCATCGGCTCAAAACGTGCCATCCATCGAGGAAGATCGCCCTTCTTTGCAAGGCCGTCCAAATCGCAAAGAAGCATGCCAGACATGAACATGGCGTTGAACGATCCATCGGCAATGTACATAAAGTAGAAAATGAGTCCAAGCTCGCACCAGAGACGAGCATTTTTCGAACATCGAGAAAATGCCATCTGGGCGGTGAAAACGACAACTGAGCCTTTAAACTCCACGGGGATAGACCACAGATGTTTGTTGTACGACAACCACGGCTCGCCACCTTCTTTGAAAACGAAACTGAAGTTCTTGAACTCGTAGTAAAATGTCCACATCTCATCATACCAGCTTTTCTGCTTTGTCATGATACGCACCCACACGCCAAAGACGTGCAAATACGTGATGTAGATAATCATGGCCATAATGATGGGTAAATAAAGACGAATCCATCTTCTGAAAAAGGACGATGCGATGACATCGCCCAGCTGAATGTACTCTCCTGCTTGGATGAGACTTATCGGCTTGAGAGAAAGCACGTAGCCTGAGATAATGAAAAAGGTTGATACGGCATAGTGACCGCCTGTGAAGAAGTGTCGTATGCCAGGGAAAGCGGCAAAATAGTATTTCCCCTCGTAGCCAAACGCATTCTCAAAGGGTTTGTTTAGCTCAGGAATACCATGTGCCCATAGTTCATTGTGATGAATGTACACCAAAAGAGCTGCGAACCCGCGAAGACCATCCAGGTAGGCAGTTGGACGGAGATTCTCTGGGGGAGGTCTTGATCGAGCACGGATGGCGGCTCTGATTTTGTTGACAACTTGTTTTATCTTGCCACCTGCTTGCGATGGCTTCCAGTAATTTTTGCTGATGGCCCAGTCTGGTGAGGACGAGTCTGACTTTACTTCGTCCCAGTCATCGCTGTCAAGAAGGCCACTTGTTCGAGGCGACATTGTAGGTGAGATTTGCCGTGGAAGGATGTTTCAGCTGAACGATGTTGAAGATGTAGTCTAGACATCTACCCGCATGCAAGTCGGAGAAAACAAATATCAAAAGCCGAGGAGGAGAATGGGATAGACAAGCATGTGGGAGATTGTGACGAGGGGTTCAATCCCTCAAGACCCACGGACTTTTGAACTGGATGCATGCAGTAGGATTGACAAGAGGAGATTCATGGTCTCATTGTGTTCCTCTTGTGAGGGAAATCTCGATGGTTGCTAGGTTGTGTTCAAGACATGGGATAGGTCATCTTTACAAGGGTCCAGCCCGTTGAGTACGGGAAAGTCGGCAGCACACGACGACCCATTATCTGGCCTGGTATTGGCTGGCAAGTCTGGGGATGGGTAAAAGCTTGTTTGGTGCCGTACTGTAAAGGTTTAGACTAGTGCGGGGGATATCAGACCAGGAGACAGGGGTTGTATTATATCCGAGGAATCACAAGCCAAGACAAATTCTTTATCTCTTGAAGACGACTGAAGTGGGTGTGAACAAAATCATTAGTTAGATCCTGCAAGGCACAAGAAAAGCCACAATTTCTGTGGCCATATCAACTCTATACAAACTGTAATCTCACCAGGCCACATGCGCCGCATCATCAGTCCTGGTCAGACCCAGTGGATATCTTCCTCTCACCAACAGAATGCCCCCGGTCATATTCACTTACCCCATACGTGCTCACCCTCCATGATGTACGAGGGAACGGAGGAGATGCCCTTCTTGGAAGTTGTCAATTCAAGCTAATAACGGGTCCCCCTGCTGCAGTATCAGCGATTTCCAACAGTCACATCACATGGGTTCAAACTCCTCTCCGCTTTCCGATGACAGTCATTAAAATGAAAGCTTTGCAGTTTCTTGGTATACTTAGGTAGCATTGGCTAGTTATTCAGGGTTTCTAGATTTAGCCAAGAGTAGATTTGGTTCAGCTCCATTGTGCATTTTCTCTTCTGTATTCAACTCGCAGACAGCCCTTCTTCTCTCCAGTGTTAGTGACGTTCTGTCATGGCGAGTGGCCCTCGACGAAACATCCCATCTAACCTACGCATCCCTCATCCCACTACCGTCGATTGGACCGTCACCAACAAGTCCAAGTCAAAGATGGGCTCTCCTCTGGGCTCGCCAACACTGGCAGCATCAACAGCCAAATTCCGAAACAGAGTCCCAGCTCAGATGCAAAGATGCCTACCGTTGTACATCTGCTGCGTCGTCCTGCTCTTCATCATCCTCAACTTCGACATCTTCTACTCCATACCCAGCCCGATCACAGCCTTTCGAACAGAAAAAGCACCCCTCGTGACAAGAACACGCTTCAGCTCGTTCCCGCAGAAGATCTGGCAAACATGGAAGGTCGATCCCCTCAACTTTGAGGACCGCGACCTCCTCACCTCGCGGACATGGGTTAACAAGAATCCTGGAATGCGGTATGAGGTCCTCACGGATGATAACGAGCTTGCTTTTGTAGAAGAGCACTTTGGTGCGGGGAGTCAGATAAACCGACCTGATATCGTCAAGTTTTATAAGAGCATCAACTTGCACATCATCAAGGCTGATTTGCTGCGATACATGATCATGTATGCACAAGGTGGTGTCTACGCTGATATTGACGTCGAAGCGTTGAGGCCGGTGCATCGATTTATCCCAGAGCGGTATGATGAGCGAGATATTGACTTGATCGTCGGCGTCGAGATTGATCAGCCCGAGTTCAGCGACCATCCCATTCTGGGCAAAAAGTCAAAGTCGTTTTGTCAATGGACAATCATCGCAAAGCCTCACCAGCCTGTCATGCTGAATCTCATTGAGCACATCATGGCCTGGCTCAAGGACGAGTCCAAGAAGCAAAAGGTTTCTTTGGGGGATATTGAGCTTACATTTGATCAAGTCATTAGCGGCACCGGTCCTTCTGCTTTCACAGGAGCCCTTCTGGAGCAGATGAACCACCACCATAAAGGTGGCAAAGTGACATGGGACCTGTTCCACAACATAGACGAGTCCAAAGTCGTCGGTAGAGTTCTCGTCCTCAATGTTGAAGCCTTCTGTGCGGGACAAGGCCACTCAGACTCTGGCAACCATGATTCTCGCGGTGCTTTAGTCAAGCACCATTACCACGCATCCAACTGGCCGAGCAAGCATCCTCGTTACAGTCATCCAGCATATGGACAAGTCGAAGACTGCAATTGGAATGCCGAGTGTGTCAGATTATGGGATGAGAATGTTGCCGAATATGAGACGTTGTCCGAGGAGGAAAAGCAGGCTAAGATAGAGCAGGCTAAAAAGCCTGATATCGGGATTTGAATGAGACATATATACGAATACCATGTTTGAATTAGAAGTTGTCTGCTTGGCGTTTGGTTTTTTGAATTTAGATATCCTGGTAATGAGTTGGCGAATATGAATACCTAGTTAAATCATTTCCACTTGCATGTGATTATGAATGGGTCGACTGTTGTTAACTGCCGAAACTTAATTATCTTGAGCAAGAATCATTCCAAACATTTAAGTTGATATTCTGATCAATTGATCAACCGATATTCCCGGACAACTGGTCTTGGCGTAATCCGCGGACCGCGGCACCGAGAGGCAAACTTTGACCAATTCAGCTTGATCACTTATTTAGAAACCAACCCCGCGTCTCACGCATCATAATATATTCTCACATCCTCGGCTTATTCTGTCCTGTTTCTACTCTTACTTTTTTTACTCGCCATAATATCTCATAGTTTATATCATGTCTTCTCCAGAGCAGAAACCAGTTATTATTGTCGGCGCTGGCTTGGCTGGCCTTGTCGCAGCCTTTGAATTGTCAGAAAAAAACATCCCAGTCCTTCTCCTGGATCAAGAAAATGAGCAAAACCTAGGTGGTCAGGCCTTTTGGTCACTTGGGGGCGTTTTTATGGTCGACTCGTCTTACCAACGCAGAATGGGAATCAAAGACTCTCGAGAGCTGGCCATGAGAGACTGGTTCGGTTCGGCGAGGTTTGATCGCGAAGAAGAAGATTACTGGCCAAGGAAGTGGGCCAAGGCTTTTGTCGACTTTGCAACAGACGAGATGGAAGATTATGTCAAAGCTCGAGGACTGGGCTTTCTGTATAACGTTGGCTGGGCCGAGAGGGGAGACGGTTCTGCTACCGGCCACGGAAATTCTGTGCCTAGGTTCCACGTCAGCTGGGGTACAGGACCAGAGGTTGTCAGGGTCTTTGCGGATCCTGTCAAGAAAGCTGCCGAGAAGGGTATCGTAACATTCAAATTCAGACACGCTGTTGATGAGTTAATTGTCGACGATGCCGGTCGAGCCGTGGGAGTCAGAGGTCGCATTCTGGAAGACGACGATGCTGGACGTGGCATCAAGTCGTCCCGCATTGAAAAGGACAAGTTTGAAATTTACGGCTCAGCTGTTGTTGTTTCTTCAGGTGGTATTGGAGGCAACGTTGATGCTGTCAAAGCAGCATGGCCTGTTGACAGACTGGGTCCCAAGGTACCAGATAACTTTGTCGTCGGTGTCCCTGCACACGTCGACGGACGAATGATTGGTATATCAGAATCCGCTGGTGCACACGTCATCAACCGCGATCGTATGTGGCATTACACTGAAGGCCTTCAGAACTGGAACCCAATCTGGCCTGGACACGGTATCAGAGTCCTCCCAGCTCCTTCGTCGCTTTGGCTTGATGCGACTGGCAAGCGACTACCACCGTTCCTATACCCAGGCTCGGATACTCTGGCAACGCTCAAGTATATTTGCAGCACAGGGTACGACTACACCTGGTTCATCCTCGACCAGAGCATCATAGCTCGCGAATTCGCCCTATCTGGCTCGGAACAGAACCCAGATGTGACTGGAAAGAGTATCTGGATGCTTCTCACCCGCGTCTTTGGCAAGAAAGGCACGGTCCCTGTTCAAAACTTTCAAAAACATGGTAAAGACTTTGTCGTCCGCGATAATCTGGAGGATCTGGTCGCCGGCATGAATAAGCTTGCCAAAGCTCGCAATGGCCCTTTACTGGAATACGACGATGTCAAGGAAGTCGTCGAAGCGAGAGACAGTCAAATGGACAACCCCTACGCCAAAGACGCCCAGGCCATGCTCATCCACAACGCGAGGACATACTGGCCCGATCGTCGTAGCCGTGTTGCACCGCCACATCGCCTTCTGGACAAGGCTCACGGACCGTTGATAGCTGTGCAGATGAACCTTCTTACACGAAAGACGCTCGGTGGTATCGAGACAAACTTGGATAGTAACGTTATGAGGGCCGATGGTACCCCATTCCCTGGGCTGTATGCTGCTGGTGAAGTAGCTGGGTTTGGAGGAGGTGGTGTTCATGGGTATAGTTCGCTCGAGGGAACATTTGTAGGCGGTTGCATCTTTTCAGGACGGGCTGCTGGTAGAGCACTTGTTCGTGAGATCTTGGGAGAGGATGTCTATGGAGGTGGGGCAAGTACAAGGCCTGTCAACTCTCGACTTTGAGAGCGTGGTTGTTCTGTTTGATTGGTGCAGTTCATTGTATTTAGAGATGAATTTAGCAAGCAACGTACATAGTGAATGTTTTGGGTTGTTCATGCTGTTGGGAATGAATAAGCATGATGGCTGTCAGGTGACCGTACGAGAATGCCTTCAACTTGCTATGACGTATCCAGTATTTCAATTACCAAGACCCGCGTCAAATCTACACCTCATTGTTCACGATTGTACAATCAACAAAACTTCAGGGTAGGAATGAAATCAAGATCGGTACTGGTAGAACGCCTTACCCGTAGCCAAGCCTGCAGGAGTGGGCACCGCTGAGATCTACTGTAACATGAACCCCTGACCCTGGCTAAGGCTGAGTGAAAGACACTGTCGGCGCCTAAATTTTTGGGTGGCTTAGGCATGGCTGGGACAGTCTTTGAGAGAGGACTAATTAGTAGCCAGCAGACAATAAAGTGGCAATTGATCTATTTATTCTCCCTCGCAGTAAACAATTGCTGCTCGGTCTAGCTGTGAGGATTTCGCATCTCGCAAGAACTGAGACCTTTTCAGCCTTCAGCATAGACAAAAAGTAAGCACTTGTTGTTCGTCTCATTATATCCCCGTTCTCACCAATGACAAACTAGTATCACAGCCACCATCTCTAGCTTCAATTTCCCTACTCACGATAGCGTGACACTTGATCATCGGTCATCTCAGACAATTCAGATTCTATGACCCACGAAAGATGTTAATAATGCCACAAGGATCCGAGCTAGCAAGTCCAGCATGTAAGAAAGCGGACCCAATGGCCATTTCACCGCTGTCTCACTGGGTGAAGCTCTCTCACTCCCCGGCCCTCAAGACATCTGCTTCAACGCTAACACTGAGATTAATAAGGACCTTCGTCCACCGAGGCTGAGTGTTTTGTTGCGCCAGATGAAACAGTATGGCTATTCCCCCAATAGCCCGAGATTTCCTTCTCTTCTTCTTTTGTCCATCTTTCGGGTCAGCTTGTGATAAACAGACGACCTTGGAGTTGTTGGTACCTGATCTTGAGGCTCGACAACCACATACCCTCTACAGTATTTGATCAAAATATTCACGCACAAAATGCACGTTCTGTTGCCACTCACCGTTCTACTGAGCAGCCTTGCCACCAGGGCTGCTGCTGCTACCTCCTTCATCACCCCTGGAGGATCTGGAACTACGGGATGGAAGAACAACCCGTCTTACGATGCCGATGAGAGCATGAATGTAGAGTGGCAGACTGACCTTGACGAGACAAACCTTCTCCTCTGGCAGGATTACCCTGCTGCTGGCGGTGGCACTCAGTTCTTTATGAGTCTGAAAGGTATGCGCGATACTACCTACCATCTGGAAGGGCAGTGACTAACCCTGCATGTTTAGAAAACTCAACATCGACCAGCTTCATATGGCAAGTCAGCTTCAACGGCTTCTCCACTGAAGTCAAAGACGGTGAAGACGCCGTCTTCCACTTCTCCCTTTTCAAGTCTGGCACCAACGACATCTACGCCAACAGCCAAGCTTTCAACGTTACAGTTCCTCGCGATGCAACAACGAGCGCGGCCTCTTCCACCGTCGAGCCTAGTCCCACGCCCACCCGCGACGCTACCGAAACAACAACAGACGCCGCCACCGAGTCAACAACAGAAGCTGCTTCTGATTCGGAGGATAAGGATCTTTCTACCGGAGTTGTCGCTGGTATCGCAGTTGGTGCCACCATTGGAGGTATCGCTGTCCTCGCTGGTGTCGGCTTCCTTCTCTGGAAACACTTCCGTAAGGGTCCCGGTGCTGCGGCCGGAGGATATGCGCCTCCCAGTGAAATGCCTACTGGACCTCAGCACCAGCCCGTGCAGGAATACTATAAGGCTCCTGGGCAGCATGCGCCAGCTGAGATGGCTGGCCAGCCATGGGTCCACCCTCCTCATCAAGGCTATAACCAAGGACCTGGTGGTCTTCATGAGGCGCCATAATTAATGATTGGTAAATGTAGAGGAATCGTAGAGTTTCTATTGGAAGTAGTTTTGCATGTTGTACATCAGAGCACGGAGTTGGTTGATTGCATCAGCTATATATCTATATTCTTTTTCACGGATACCTATTCATCAATACCAGAATAATTCATCTAGCTTGATTATAATCTATTTGATCAAAGATTAACATGCGTGTATATATGTTATGACAAGTTCAAGGTTCTGGCAGTTCCCTTTGATATTCCCCAGCACGTATCGAATATGACCGAAACATCCGTCTGGGTTTTGAAATATTGCCGAGGTCTTGCTGATTCGTAAGTGCCGTTTGGCTATCTTCGGTGAAGCGTTGTTCAAGATGATATGTCCCGTCGGTAACAGTGCTCGAGAATGTGCCCTCTGCTATGATACCGCAGTGCTTGTCGCGGGCGATTTTGCCGATGAGGTCGGCCATGGACATTTCGATATGTAGTTTTACAATATATGCCAAAGGATGAAATTGCATATATCTAAAGAACCTGGTTAGTATCTGCGTTGGTGACAGTGGCTTGAATGCATACACAAAAGTATTTCTTAAACTCATCATGGCAATAATGAGCACATCCATGCTCAACGAAAACCCAATGATAAACATGTTGAAATGCGTCAGCCTCTTGTACTTTGTGAGACCATGAATGATGAGATTAGCGCGAACGATGTGTATAAAGTAGAGGTTGAGACATGCGTCGACGATGAGGTATATGACTTTCTCGCATCGATCCCACCACTCATTGATGTGGACATATCGCTGTGACACCTGTAGTCGGGCAGGAACCCATATGCAATAGACAGAGATGTTGACAGCGGTGATAAGAATTGCAACGAAGATTTTGAGATGGTAGGCTTTTCTTGTATGGGTGAGGAGTATGCCACATCGGTTGACGATAATTTGGAGGAGAAATTGGACCTGTCAAGGGTTAGTCGAGGAATTGTAAAGTCGACTATGATATTCTTACTTGAAGGGCCCATGTAGTAACTGAGAGAAGTTAGCAGCAGTTCAACTTAAGGTTGCGAAATGATAATACTTACGAATAGTGAAATAAAACGCAAAGCTGAAGAATATAAATCAGTATATGTAGTCGGAGTTGATCTCGAATCAACTTACCTCGGGGGTATAACGTCAAGCAGATGCAAAATGCAAATAATAGCAAATATCGTACAAACCAATAACTCCAACCAGACCATTATAATATATGCATTTCGAAACAAGCGCCTCCCATGGCGCTGGTATATCTGGAATGTCTGCCTGCAAGCCTTCCAGGTGGTGAGCCATCCGAAGCCGATGGTAAAACCCAGTGCAATAGAAGCGATGACCAGATCGCCTCTAGTAACTTCCTGAGCCTTGTAGTGGGGGGAAAGGAGGGTTATCATTCCGACATGTTGAGGGGCGTTTTTGTACTGCTATCATCTGGCCGTGATGAATAGAGAAATTCCGGGTGATGTTTTCCACGTTATGGATTTAGGTATTGAGGGGGAGGTCGAGGTGCATATGGGGGAAATGAGAACAGAGCGTCATGGCAGAGTAAGGATTGTAGATTCCCTACTGTAGAGTAACGCGTGGACACGGAAATGTAACGCATTGTTAATGATTGGAAGTAGTCGGGATACTAAAGAAAGCCATATTATGCCTGGTGTACCAATGCATACACTGTGGAGGTCTCCAGTACATCAAGAGATGAGACCACTACAGCAGTCAACAAGTATATACTACTGTGAAGTTATCAAACTCTAAAACCCTGGTTCTCGGACCCCTTCCCCGCGCTGGCAACCTCCAACTACCGCTCAACCGTTACAGACTAAACAGTACGTAGCGTTTCCTTCGCAACTATTTGCCCCTTTCATCAATCACATGAGATCTACACCACTAAAGTCATGCGAGGAGCCAATTGGTGCCGCTCTGTGCCCTGTTTGATCTACTGTATGGTTGATCATGGTCTTGAACTGGTAGCCAACTCGTCTTGGCATTTCGTGAGGCTGAGACTCTTGACTTGAGACTGACTCAAGGGAGAGTTTTCAGTGACATTTTACAATTTAAACTAAGTTTGTATCAAGTGAAATTGATTTTGTCTTGAGCTGTGTGCTGGTGGCCTCTTTCTTTTCATGCAAAGCTACTCACGTTTCTGCTTATACACCACGCCATGTTTCTCAATCACGAGACCCTGAAAGAACAATAGAACATTATATTTGTTCTACATGGTATGTCTCTAGATCCCCTGCCAGTGTGGCGGATGCACAGACGGTCCATTGCTGAAATGCATTATGTCAACATCTACCTGCATTTCTCCCCTCATTTCCCAACAATTTACATATGATTTCAGCCTGATTTGGTTGGGTCAGATAGCCTAATAAACTAATCTATCCCCATTTCAGCCACGGCTCGTGCCGTGAGTAATGTCTCCATAACCAGTCAACTGCAGACGCCAATCTCCGCAGCAATATTTCTATCAAGAGACGGACTAATAGCGTCTCGACTGCAGATCGAGTTTCACGGGACCTTATCCAGACTGTCACTTTTAGCATTAGTTGCAGATCATCATTGAAAAGTGACACAGGCCAAGCAGCTCGATTTGATCTAACCCTATGGGGATCATCCATACCGTACTGTACATGCCTTTAAAGGATCAGAGACATGGACGAAAGGACATGACATGTATTTGTGTGATATTTTCCTTAATGAGACAGTCTCATTCGCTCGTTTCTTCTCGACCCAGACTCAGCAATAACAGCCTTGGAAACCTATACTCAAATGCTTCTCGGCAGCATTACTTCCCCGCATGCTCTAAGGGGATGATCTACGCCTCAGCTGAAGTCGGTGCAATGGACTACCGAGGAAACAACGCTATCGTGGCTTGAACTAAGATAGGAGGCGCAACAACTAACTAATTGTTAGCCTAACGTCTGGTTAACAGAGACCGTGAAACCATCCACCCACCATGGAATTAGGACCCCAATCAGGTATCCTTCTTGTCTCGTCGATCAGTCCATAAGGGTGAGCAAAGAACACACTGCTTCTATCCGTCTTCCGCTGACATATTATTGACTATACTAGTTCATTTTGGACCTATTTCCGCAAATTGGGTTTTCCGCTTACAAAGTGGATGATATTCTAGAAGCTTAACTCACGTCTCATTCATCGTACCAAGTCCTATCTCCCTACCGCCCATCCCGTCCCTTAAACACAGTTGTTTCCACCGGGAATAAAAGTACCATCCGAGTTCTCACAACCGCAAGTACCATCGTTGGGATCCTTGATACATGTAGTACCGACACCAGAAGACTCTCCATTGTTGCTAAGCGGGTCAGTCAAGTCATCGTTTCCCTACTTTTATAATATACTTACTTCCAGAAGAAAGTCCAGTAGTCTTGATCGGCAGTCATGTCGCCAGAAGTAGGAGCGTCGCACTCATAAGCCTCACAAGTACCATAAGGAGCACCGTTGTTCTTGTCGTACTGATGATCAACCTTGAAAATGGCAAAGGTCTGCTTGCCTGACACGCGGGTGTTGTATGCGCACTCAGCGGCCTGAATAGCGTTGGATGTCTTGGAAGCTATATCGAGCTGGTCAGTTCCAAATTTTTACGAGGTCATTATAGAAGAGGTAGGCTCACGAGAGCATGATGGGCTCTTAGGATATTGGTCCTTGGTGTTACTCTTCGCAGGCTCAAGTGTAGCATTGACGGCGCCAGCGATGGCAATGAGAGAAGTAAAAGTAGCGAGAGGATACATATCGAAGAATTATTGGTTTAGGATATTGAAGGTTTTGGCGCGATAGTTTAGTAGAATGGATAGGATCATCAGCTCTGAAGATCCTCTTGTCTTTATAACTAACTACACGAATACCCATGTTTCAAGTAAATTGAAGTAATGTTTCCGAAACTTGTCACTGTGGAGAATCTTCCATGATTCTTGCGGTGGAGCTCTCACTCCTTGAGTAATTATAGCAGGGATATACGACGCATCATTTGAATGAAACAACAAACAACGTGTTTTTCAAGGTTATGACTGGTGGATATATATTCCGGATTTCTCTTTGACAATTGTTCTTATATCCACTTCCCGGCGGTGAACTTTAAGTAGTGGGTAGGCACTTTGGGAACCAGTCAGATCGGATATCCCTTTATAACTGGCAAACTTGAGAATAGGTATGCGACTAGATATGGAATGTATTAAAAGGTTATAAACTAAACTAAGCTATTTAAACAAGAATGCCCTCCCGAATGAACCTACAAATCCTCCACGTCCGTAGCGGTATGCGAATGAAACGTCTCAAACTTAAAAATTGCCATTTTGGTCTCTCCTTTGGGCTCATACAGCACCAGCTCAGGACAATCATCCCAGTTGCCAATGGCGCCCGAATCAGTAAAGTAACCATCTTGCAGCGTACCCGTAACGTTGAAGTGGTAACCGATTTCATGGAGTCGTTGGCCAGTACAGCGAAGTGACACGCGTGAACCGTGCTGCTGCTCCAGTGCGTCTTGGATATCTGACAATTGATAAAACATGGAATATGAAGGAACTATGCCAACATCACGTAGCCACTTGTATGTTGGGAGACGTTTGAACAGTGAAACTGTCTTTTGGAAATAGGGAACTGCTTCTTCGGCTTCCTCGTAATTGCGCCCGTAGCATTCTCGGTTCAGACTACTGAAGCATGTTCCGTGGGCGACCCATTGGTCTTGCCAGAGATCTTCGTTGTCTCCCTCTGCAGATTCCCATAGGTTATTCATCTCGTCGACAGTATCTTCAGCACCAGCATGGTACAAAATATGTGTAATGTTTGTGTATGTACGGTTGGTGTCGCAGTTGCTTGGGATGGAACCGTCATTGTGAATGGGCCAGAGTCCGTGGATGGTCCATGAATCTAGTTGTGTTAGCAGTGTATCTATGAGTTATAGCAGGGTGTAAACTTACCTAGAGGTCCAGAGACGGGTCTTGTATCCCAGACTTGTGTTTGTAACAGTCTTGCTGGAGAAAGGTAGCAGCAAGAGTCGCCGACAGAAGCTTTATCGTAGCATGAAACTCGACGACCGTTGGCGTACACATTTGGTGTTCCAGCAAGAGCCAACACAGAAGTGGATGCAGTAAGAAGCGCGAAAAGTTGAAACGAACTCATTATTTATGCTTCAATGGGGTTGAGTGTTCCTGTTGAACTTGTACTGGATATTTCGACTTCTGGAGTTATCGCTGCTTTCTTTATAACTTTCTCAAACACAGCCCCTGGCCGTATAGCAATGAGAGATTTTATCAAAGTGTTACGAGTCAACCGCTTGCTACTATCAAACATCATGGAAAACAAGGCAAACTGATACAAAACTCAAAAACAGCCAAGACAAGACACAGAAATAACCCAATCGAACTCGAGATTTCGGCCGAAATACGTCAGCTACGATCTGAAAGCGTATCTGAGACCAATCAAACAATGTCTTGGGTAGTTGAAAGTTTGCAAACGACAACTGACACGATACCGAATGCGGACTATTTTCTGGTGAGGGACTGTGATACTTTTGCCGATCCATACCAACCACTTTTCTTTAGGTTATACACAGGTCCACAAGTCGTTTTATTCGTCGATCGTTTTCGTTGAGCCTGTCAGCACGCCGTTTGGTTTCGGGCTTTTTTCTATCATGTCACTTTGATGACCGACACACAAGAATTTCTGCAGTTTATTATCCTATTTAAGAGGGCAAACCACGTTACTGGAATGCGGAAGCACCCGAGGGACTGCAGGTACAGTAGACATTGGATGGTTGATCGGGTGACAGGATCTATGTACATGGCTGAGTGAGATGCCATAGCCACAAAAGAGTTGAAAAGTTTATTACTCGTGCGCTATTCCAGAGATCATGTCAAGGAAAGTACTTAATTGGAAATTTACAGCTTTCCCATGTTAGATGCTAAGAACAGAATGGTTGACTTGATGGCCAAGACATTTTGTGTTCTACTGTCGAAGACACCAACTCAACTGAAATTTATGAGTCACTTGGTACATGAGTCCCGAATTCATCTGGATAATGATTCAAAGATGGAAGAGATTCTGTGGATTCAGTCAAGTTGGCCTATTCGTGTATCACAACTTCTCAAGGTACTTGTGTATGCCTCCATGATTCATTGAAAAGTCATAATATGATTACAGCAGATCTTCCAACTATTTGGCAAGCCAGTCATCCTGACGGGCAGAAACTCAGCTGGTTTCCCGGCCATCCGAGCACAACCTCCGTCATGATTCGATTTACTGATGATAGGAATGTGATGGTTAAAGTTCAACTGGCAGAGGCACGGCAACAGCCACGAGGCATAACGGCGGGAATAACTCCCCAACAAGCCACAGACACATCATACCTGTACTAGGTATAGGATAAATGTATATAGACTATCAGAAAGATAAACTTAGAAGCTAATCAACTTGGTTCTACAAGGCTTTGCTCTATTTAGGCTATTCTAAGCTCCGATAGGACGACTACTGGAATGTAGATTAATTGCTCGATCAACCTCATCTTTGGGGCTAAAGATAATCATTCAAAGATTGACGCTCTTCAACGGCTGGAAATTATGTCTAAAGTGCAAATTAAAAGTTGACGATGACCTCATCGAATCTCATGTTAGTATACACCTCGCTTTGAATTATACCGACGAGATCAAGGATGGTAATCCTACCCGCACTTTCTCGGACCGAGGCCTGAATGAGGGGAAAGAATATGTCATTGAGATCAAAACAGCCTGTAAACATCCCTAACTTCTTATGTCTTTGGTAACATGTTCAAGTAATTGTGAAAATGCAATTCTTTAGCATCGTCGCAGGCCTTGTATGCCTTTGCGCATCGTCACTGGCTTCAAAACATGACTCCAAACCTCCCCAGTTTCACAACTCAGCGAACCACCCAGGAGCAGATCCTCACGTAATCTACGACTCCAAAACCGGCCAGTATTTCGCATACTCTACTGAAGGTGCAGACCCAGGCAGTCTCTTTGCCATCTACAGCAGCCCCGACCTGTCGACATGGCACAAGCATCCAGGCGGCGTCTTGAAAGCCTGCTACGACGACGATATGAACCGCGTCAAGGGTGGTCAAGCCTGCTGGGCCCGTGACTGGTACTGGGCTCCAGAAACCTACTACAACGAAAAGACCGGCTGGTACTTTTTCTTCTTCGCTGGACGTTTGCGAGAGGATTTGGCCAAGGATTATTTCCGCTACTCGGACTTTGAAGAGCCGTCCAAGATTGGAGTGGCTGTTTCAAAATCACCTACTGGGCCATTCAGGGAAATCAAATCAAATCCCATCGATTATTATCCATTTGATCCTGATTATTACGATGTCAATCTCATCATGGACGAGAAGCAGATGCGTCCTCCACAAACCCTGAAAGAAGGCAAGACAGCACCAAGGGGCACCTACATTCCTACTATTGACGTCAATATCTTTTTTGACAAGGATGGAAAGATTTATCTTTATCTCTCTCGAAATGCCTACCGCAACTGGAATTGGGATAAGAAGCTTGGCAAGTACATTGAGGAATCCAACATTATCGTCGTCGAGATGGAGCGAGATTGGTGGGATGACCCCAAAGCCATGACGATGCCTGAGATCATTGCTTCACAAAAGAACATCCAAGCCAAGGATGCACCAAACCTCCCTCACAATATCACCTCCTATAACGGCACTGGTGAAATTGGTTCACCCTCACGTAAGGATGGCTGGAAGACTGTCATCTCCTACGGCGCCGATCCCCAAGACTGGGAGAATTACCACGTCGACGACTACGAAAATAACAACGGTACCAAGAAAGACCGTCGCTGGGCTGAAGGTAGCACTCTCATCAGACGGCCTGGAAAGAACGGCAAGCCTATTTACTTGCTCACCTACAGCGCCAACAACTATGAGGCATCCAACTACGGCGTAGGCTTCGCAACCTCCAGGTCTCCCTTTGGACCATTCCGCAAATCATCGAACAACCCTATCCTTTCGCAGAAGCCCGATGCCAAGATTCCAATCTACTCAACCGGTCATGGCAGTATTGTAGCTTCGCCTGCCAAGCACAACAAGAAAGTTGGTACTCAAGACGTCACGCTCCGAACACCACCAGGCTCAGAGCTTTTCTATGTCCACCATGCGCGTAACAGCACAGAGCGTAATAGGTCCATCTACACGACTCGCATGACTCTTGACGAGTCAGCCATGTACTTTGGCTCTGATGATGCCATAAGTATGGACCTTACATCTCTTGACCAACCGTTCCCCAAGAACACGTATCCCAGCCGCATGGACGCTCGGTGCTCCAGGGAAAAGGGTGCGTGTCAGTTTTACGTTAAGGTGATGTCTAAGCCTGGGGCGTCTTTTGATATTCTCGAGAGAACGAACAGAGTTGTAGCTCTACCCGGAAACATTGTGGCTACTTATGTAAAGGCTGACAAGCGTACTGGATATTTTGTTATATCTTTTGGTAGTGCTTCTGTCAAGGAGTTGGCTTATCAGCGGTTGAGTGTTGACGAACGTTGGTCTACAGTCACAAAGAAGAAAGTGACTTGTAGGTAGTTTAGACAAGCTTGTATCACCAAGACATATCAACGCTGTTATAAGACGTCCTACCAACTCTTCTCGCATACAGAACAGCAACAGCGGATAAGTGCCGAAGAGTGACAAACCAAAAGACATAACAGTCTGACAGGCAAAAGAAGGGCCTGACCGGGGATTGAACCCGGGACCTCTCGCAAACTATAGTCTCATTGAATAAGACTGAGATGTCACTCCCGAAGCAAGAATCATACCGCTAGACCATCAGGCCAGATCCTAGATCCTTAAGTGAGGTTTCGGCCAAACGGTAATACCTATATAGTCTTGAGTTCACGGATGTCTATGCCTGGACATGGCCCTTTATCATAATGTGATCAAGCTAGATACTACCTAGATACTACAGGTAACGGTTTCATTCAAAGACCGAGGAACACGATACCTGAGAATTTCACATGTCGAAACATAAATCCAACAGTTTGTGAACATATCCACGTGCTAGATGCTAGATCTTCAAGGCAACATTATGTCTGAAACGTAAGGTCTATATACTCATGACTTCATGAATATCCAATTGTAACATTATATGATATACTGTGGTTGTGTGTGAAATCGTAACTCAGCTCGTTTCAAGCTATAGTCGCCATTAACGTATGTACTAATCTCTAATTTATCTCTCAGATACAACAAGTTGGACGATGGCCTGCCCTTGACCTTGGTTAGAACACATTCGGCTCCATATCTCCTTAATCCTTCTTCTTTCCGATCTTGGGCAAGCATAACCATAGGCCCAACAGAGCAGCCAGAAACGTAAGTATAATAGGTTGAAGAGTCTTGACCCCTTTGGCCTGGGCAATAGCACCAACAGCAAAAGGCAGAATCGCAGCTCCACTGCCTCCAAATGCTGCAGCAAAGCCGATTGTACTAACGTGCAAGTGCTTAGGCAGCATCTTAGTCGTAGCAACCACAACAGCAGGGAACGGAGGCCCAAGGAAGAACCCTTGGAAAGCTACTGTGATAGCAGAAACATAGAAACTCGGCACCAACCAGAAGATTAATTGCATAGCCATGGCAGCAGGCAGATAAAGAGATACTGCAACTTTGACACCAAGTCGAGGCGTGACAAAACCCAGGATAGCTCGGCCAACTGCAAGACCTAACCAAAAACCCATTGAGGTCATACCTGCTGGATAGTTCTCGGCCTTTCGTACACGGATCATAAATTGAACGATCCAACCACCGACAGAAACTTCGACGCCAACGTAGCAGAGAAGAAATGCGGCGCAAAGCCAGGTGACGCGAGCAAATGGAAGCTTAAAAAGTGCCTCTTTCATGCCTTGGTTATCTTCATTGCTCGCATCCATGGTCTGACGATAGACCTCTGGTCCATTGGGCCAGAAAGCCCATGAGCAAGTGACAAGCTCAATCACAGCCAATCCGATCTGAGTATGGTAGTCAGCATTTGAGTTCTGTTACAAGAGAGGCAACCCTTGGACTTACCATAACGTAGTAAAACGTGTACCACGGAAGGTCAGCCTTTGCTATCATGTTTGTAGCGATCAAAGGACTAATGACACCACCGATACCATAGAAAGCGTGGAGGAAGCCAAGAGTCTCATTTGCTTTGTCAAGGTTACCAACCCAAGCGTTCCATGCTGCATCGCTGATGCCGTTGCCGAATCCAGCAATGGAATATGCGACCACTAAAACAGGGTAGGGTGGATGAAGGGCGATGATGATATAAGCGGTTATATGGCAGAGACCGCAAGTAATACCAATTCCTCTCTGCCCTATACGTCGATGCAGAGTGTTGTTCAGAACTGCGGCGAGGATATATCCCACAAAGGGAGAGAGGAAAATAAGGGAAACCACAATATAGCTCAAATTATAGTATTTCTCTAGCTGTTGAATTGTCAGTATAGTTTAGTAGAGAAGTCGGGTGCACATACGTATGGGATCAAAGCCTGCGATCATGTTAGCGATTGAAAATGAAACATTCGGTGTGACTTACACCATATGCAGCATCATTAGCACCCGAAGTCAAAAGACTCCAAAAGGAAGCGCCAGTTTTGAACACATTCTCACGGGGATATTTCCAACTCTCAATGGTTTCTGGGACATTCTGGGCCGGGTCACTTTCGAGGCCATTCCCGCTACCATCTGAAAACCCTCGGTCTGCGTGAGATCCAAGCCTTCGAGATTCGTCAAAATACTCTGAGCCTCTGAGGGATTCTCGAGATGCAGCGGCAGGGGGTTCGTTGATTGTGCGAGATGTCAGCTCATACGAGCGAATGGTGGCTGTAGAGGATGCAGTCATAGTGGATATGGTGATATGGTATGCTGACCGGAGCGTTACCGGGAACAGAGCGCCGTATAAACTAGACGACGACAGTATTGAACAATAGAGAAGGAAGAAGTTACGGAAAACGGGCGGATGTCCATGTTTTAAACCTGGTAATTTACGAGATACTGTGGATCTATGATCTCAGTCCGGATAATCGTTTAGTAACGATTCGTGATGGGTAGAAGTTGAGAGTATAACCAGAAACGGAATAGATGCACAGGAACAAGGCGGCTCGTCGGTCCGTCATGGAAGAGCTTCGGTTAGACTTGGGATCATGACATGGCATTTTTCCGATGCTGGCGGCTACGATCATGATGTCGTCTGTATACGTAACCTGTTGTCAGTGTATGCATTTAGCTAAAGACAAAGTAAGCATCCTTCTTCTCTCACATGCCATCAGCGTCAGCATCAGCAAACATGCATCGGCATCGGCCTTGGCCAAGCTTTATTGACGCGTGGTAATTTAGCACCTACAGTTTGGCAGGTGGTACCTACTAATTAAAGTGGCGGAGGCAGGGATGGAGGCTTAGGTCCACCGTCTCTCTTCATTACACACAGTCAGCAGCCAGCAATAGCAAGACGAAAAAAGGTTCCCATACATAGTCGACAGCCTAGACTAGACTCGGTAGGTAGCCTCTATCCAAAACTTCAAGAGTCTAGACCGCGCTGGCGTCTGGCTATTGGACTGAGTGGCTTTTTGCGTTTCCTCAGCTTCCCCTCCACATGATCCAATCAAGGAGACACCAGCCCTACAGGAACCGGCGATGCTACCCAGAACCACAACTCAGCCCTGGCGGTGCGATGGCAGAGATGGGTTTAGTGCTGAATGCCACAGTAACAGGCTCCATGATGCCCATGGGGGTAATCTCTAAAGGTCAAGGGTCTGTTTTTTTTGTTGCTTTTTTTTCGCTCTTCCTCTTTACTTTTCCATGCATCTGTCGCTACCCGACGACCATCTGCGATACAATACTTCCATGATTCAGCAGCTGTCCACCTCCCCCAACGCTACCTATAACCTCAGGGTCCTAGCTGTTTAAGCACAGGGCACTGCGGGGAACTCGCCTCCTACGGTACCTACCGAACAGACCGCTAGGGCCTCTATCTACAGCACCTAGCTATCCAGTCCTTCCTGCCACCATGGAATTGAGGGATTACAGCCGTCGCGATCCAACATCACCGCCCGAGGATTGGGAACTAACGAGCCCTTCGATTGCCAGGAAGCCTATAGGCGCCAGCAAACTATCTCCCTCGCCATATACCTCCCCCGATTACGCCACGACCTCCTTTTCCCAGCGCGCAGGTCAACAACCTTTCCTACCACGACAAGATACAACCGACACAACCTACTACGGCGCTTCAACACCACTGGGGATATGGGAACCCTCAGCCCCTCATGCGCCGGGTTCCGGTCGACCGCAACCTTATAGAGAGGATAGTCAAGCTTCACTCTTGATGAGCGGCGATGGTCCAAGAAATCCTCCTCCGCACATGCCCCAGGCCGGTCAAGGTCCCCCTCCGCCGACTCCCCCGCACAATAATAAGTTTTGGGATTGGTGGCATCACAATTGGAGGCCATCTTGGAGCATGTACATTCTCGTCTTGTCAGGAATTGCTTTCGCTATAGGCCATCATTTCTACTACGACGCCCTTCATGGCAAAGTCGCAAACGATCAGCAGGGCAAGCTTCGATATGGCGCCCTTCTGGCCTTCTTGTCAAAAGCATGTTTCCTCAACGCCGTCGTCCTAGCTTTCCGCCAGAGAGTATTGATGATGATCCGTCGCAAGATGCTTACACTGGCTACTCTTGACTCGCTTTTTGCAGCGTCTGAAGACCTGACAGCTTTGCTCAACTGGGAGGCCTGGGTAAATGCTAAGTTCGCCATGGCTCTGACAATATTTATTTGGACGTCGCCTCTGATTGTCATATTCACATCCTACACCCTGACCGTCAGGCCTCAGCGAAAGGATGAGATGACGCGATGTCCAAACGCTCGCACCCTGAACTTTGAGCACGAAGAGGTGGTTTACTGGAGAGATCCAGTCAAGGTCAATAATTACTTCGAGACCTCTGTATCCGTATGGAACACGACCGCAGCTGGCGACAGTATCAACAAAACCAATCCCAACGAGTTTGACTATTTCACCAGCAACAGTCAACAGTTCGAGTCTATTGCCCTCAAGACGGCATACGCGCAGCAAGCAATCATGCGACCCAATGCGCCGGAAGAGATTTGTGGTGCAGGTTGGAATTGCTCTTACACCATCGAATTTACTGGTCCAGGATACAAATGCACAAACTTGGCCTCGGGAGTTAGGGCGGATGTCAAGAAGCTTGGTAACGCAAAGTGTCCGTTCGACACAAACGCCCTTGCGCCCTTAGGAAACTACACATACTATGCAATGCTCGACCGAGGCGATTACGAAAACCCACAAATCCCGGCAGACATCGGCGGAAGGCCCAAGCAGAAACCGCCATATCCGAAAAACCTGGGGGCATTCCGGACCGAGCCCATCCTATGGTTTGGCTATGCTGAGGTGGACGACAGAGAGAAGTCCCAGCCATCGGACCCAGGTAAAGGCGACTGGTACAAAGCTTACACCCCGACCATCTTTGGGTGCGAGCACTACCAAACCGAGTACAAGGTTCAATTAAACTACACTGGTGGTGTTCAGTCTCATAATGTGACGAGCCGCAAGTTTGTTAAAAAGGTGATCGACACAACCTTTGTACCCGGCAAAAAGGACCCGGACAAAAGACTTAAGGATCGGACTGTGGCGGAACCCGAGGAGAATTATGTATACCCTCAAAACATTACGGATTACCGACTGACGGCCGCGTACCATGCTGTGGGATCCCAGCTGCGAACGATTCTGAACGGCACCACGACGATGCCGCATTTCATCGTCAATAGCAAGATCCTCCAGACGAGGCTTGTTGACCGCCTAAATTACCTTCCCGTCAAGAACTTTCCCCTCGAAGTGCAAAGGTTTTACGAGGAGATTTTAATATCGTTTCTGTCGGATCCGCAGATGTCTGCTGTCTCGTGGGCTGCCAAACCATCTAACTACTCTGGCAAATTCAAGAGCGGGAAAGGGCTAGATTATCCCTGTGTAAAATGGCAAGAAAGGAACTCTTTCTTTTACAACTATGCGCAATTGTGGGCAGTATATGCGATCTCCATAGGTATCACAATCCTTGCGGTCGCATCAGGTGTGGCGGCAATGGAGGAGAACGCCATCATGCGAAGCTTAAGCTTCTCCGCCATTCTTGCCGCATCGAGAGCTTCCAGTCTCGATAAACTACGATGGGAGCAAGAGGCTGAACTCAAGAGTCGAAAGATTGGATTCGGAGTCGTGGCAGATCCGACTGGTGAGAGAACATACTCTTTCGGCGTAGAGGGGGACGTCAGTCAGGAAAAAGAGGCCGCGATGGCTACAGGGCGCTCGCCGGGCATCTCGGTGATGAATTGGGGCGACAGGGCAGCGCGCAGAATGAGTTATGCCATGTTGAACAAAAGGGACAGACCCGAAGATTAGGGTGGAAGTATAAGTGTCGGAGTATTGGCGGGTATCATGAGCGCAGCGTTTGTTGATTTACTCATATTTAATTCATGAAGATATGATTTGCATATTAAAAGCTCAAGCGCATTGTTAATGGGGCGAAACACTGAAGGAGCTTGGTGATAACTCCGATACCGTACTCGCTAATTAAGGCCAAGTGTTTGGTGGAGCTAAGCTACCTAGGTAGACGAGTTCAGCGCAGCTTGACTCCTGTCTTGAGCTTGCAGGCTTGCGCAACTCAACGTGTCTGTTTCTCAGATTCAATTACGCCCATTATGTCTGCCCACGCAGCAGTTGATCTCTCAGATGCAGCCCTGGGTGGTTCAATTCGAATAAAAGACGACCACTTCATCGACGCTTACGGACGCGTCATCTTCCTCCGTGGCCTCAACCTCTCAGGCGCCTCTAAACTGCCCACTGAACCGAATAGCTTGTCTCACCTAGACCACGGCTTTTACGAGAGCCACCGTATTGTGACCTTTGTAGGCAGACCTTTTCCTCTAGAAGATGCTCCTCTACATTTCAGACGGCTTCAGGCTTGGGGTACACCCTTTGTGAGGCTGCTCGTTACATGGGAGTCCCTTGGTCATGCGGGGCCTGATCCAGAGGATCTGGATCTCGAGTATATCGCCTACCTGCGCCAATTGATTGAGATGATGCCTCAGTATGGTATCAAGTGCTTCATTTGCGCACATCAGGATGTTTGGAGTCGGTATAGTGGTGGTAGCGGTGCGCCTGGCTGGACGTTTGAGGTGGCCGGCCTAGACATTGAAGCTTTCACCGATACAGGTGCTGCCTACGTTCACAGCCAGGATGAAAAGAAGCGCGCAAGCGAACCAGTCAACCCCAAAGAGCCTGGAGGTCCTTTCCTTTGGCCGTCAGGATATCAAAAGCTTGCGGCATCTACAATGGCTACTATCTTCTGGGCAGGTGATGCTTTGGCCCCCAACCTTAAATGCTATCGCAAACCAGGTGACGCCGAGGAAATATCTGTGCAAACGCTACTCCAAGACGCCTGTGTTGAAGCATTTGGACGTCTCGCCGACGAAGTAGGTCATCTCGAAGCATGCATGGGCTTTGAACCTATGAACGAACCTCATCGCGGTCTGGTCAACCTACATCACTTCCACTCATGGAACTACGACACAGATCTACACATTGGCCACTGTCCCTCTCTTGCCCAGTCACTTGCCCTCGGAAGTGGCTATGCGCAGGATGTCGATTACTGGGTCAAGTCGTGGCCATGGCCAACTCGTGCTTCACACAAGTCTCGTATTGACCCCAAGGGTCGCTCCGCATGGCTGTCGCTAGACTCAAAGTCGACAGGTAACGGGCGAGGTCTTGGTAAGTGCGTCTGGCATGCCCACGGCGTTTGGGAGTGGGATGACAAGAAGAAGACTGCCCGTATTCGCGATGACGATTACTTTGAGGTCGATCATCGGCCTGGTCGTGAGGGGAAGCCGATTGAGTGGTACAACGACTGCTATGCACCTTTTCTCCAGAAGTTCTCGGAGCGCATGTCGCGCAAGACGGCTAGGACCATGAGCTTCATTGAAGCCATTCCCAATGAGTTCATCCCACCCTGGCCTACGGACGATGTCGACAACGAGAAATGGCGTCAACAAAATTACGCCGAGAAGACGGTTATCGTGTCACCGCGTCCAACCAACCTTGTGTATGCGCCGCACTTTTACGACCTCAACGTTCTCTTCAACAAGTGCCATTCGTGGATGAGCGTCAACGTGCAAGGTCTTTCACGAGGCATGATCCCTCTCAACGCGCTTTATTTTGGTGCGAAGGGATTGAAGAAAAACTACAAGAGACAACTTGGTGAAATCGTCAAGTATGGAAAGAAATCGCTAGGCGAAACTCCCATGGTCATTGGAGAGATTGGTATCTCATACGACATCAACAAGGCAGAAGCCTATCGCACAGGATGCTACGACAAGCAACGTGATCTCATGAACGGTCTCATTACCGCTATGGAAGATAACAAGCTCAACTACACCCTGTGGAACTACAACCCTGCCAACAGGGTTGAGTACGGCGACGGGTGGAACAAGGAGGATTTCTCCGTCATTAACGGCGACGACATCGTCGAGAATGGTCCCATCAAACCCGACTACCGGAACTTCATGCATGAAAACGACGAGCTTTACAAGGGAGGTCGTATTCTCGACGTCATCATCCGTCCGTACGCCGTCAAGACAGCCGGTATTCCCAAAACGTCCAGCTGGAACCACAAGACGCTGCGTTTCGAATATTCGTGGACCAGCGCGGGTACAAAAGAGTCCACAGACGAAAAGGCTCACCTCACGGAGATTTTTATCCCGTCGTATCATTATGACAGCCACGAGGTACGCGTCCAGGGAACCAACGTGGAGTGGACATATGACAAGCCCCGTCAGACGCTGTACGCACGTAGCCCCTCACATGGCGAGCACAGCATTGTTGTTTCCATTGAGAACGAAGCACAGCGTGTTCTTGACAGAGCTATTCGACGAAGACAGCTGTACCCCCCTGGGTTCCCGCTGAACCTGGTTTCTGCTGCTACGGAGGATGCCTTGGATGATATTGATTGGTCTGTTGCAATGAATTGTTGGCCTGTTGTCGCAGCTATCTTGGTTGCTATTCTTGCACGATTTCTTTTTGTGCTTTTCATGGGATGAATCTGGATCATTGCTCACTATATCTAGAAAGACGGGATAGAACATAAAGGTTGGATATTTAAGAGGCATTTGCACAGTTTTGAATAGAATTGGGTAATATACAAGAGTCTTTCTTAGGACCACAGTTCTGAATTAGTGTCGCTTGGTGCACAAACAAGTGTTTAAATAATAATCATCTCTCATTATAGTCATTATATATAGAAGCTCAGCGATAGACCAGGGAACACGATCCTCGCAAAGCCAAGTTTTCTGCAACATTCATGAAACAATACTTTTTACTCTGCATCCAAAGGACATCTGGGCGCGTTGTTGTTGACTTGAATTCCTCCTCGTTTCTTTTCCTTGCTGTCATGGAAAGGAAGAGCCCATCCGCCTTCTGTCTCTGGTGTAGACAACCACAGTCTAAGAAGATGTCTTCGAGGTGTGGGAGGGTTGTGGTCTGGAAAGTATCGGTTAGTATTTACTTGTATCAACGTTGGGAAGAAGGTGTGTCTTACCTGTGTATGCTGTTCTAGCATGGAGGAGATGCGTGTTGCTAACGAACTGGATATCACCAACTTCCAGAATCATGTGCAGCGCCAACTTTTGGCAAGTCTCCTCCAAAATAGTGATGGCACGCTTCTGCTCCTCACTCAAGGCAGGAATTATTCCCTTGTCAGAGAAGCGTGTGAGAGATCGCACAAAGTACGGATCCCACTTGCAGTAAACACGTCCCTGGCCTCCATTCTCAAGATAGAAAATCGAAGTGCGAATCCACTCTTCCTCGCCAACAGACGTTTCGCCCTTGCGGTCAAAGTACCAAACAGGCTTGGTGAGCAACTCTGCTACATCAGGATTGTTCTTCTGCAGGTCGTTCCAGACGTTGTGGATGCTGACAATGTCACTCTCGCCACCCTCCCTTGCGCGGTGCACGCACAGGAGACCGACGACATCAGAATCGTCGGCGTGGAAGAACTGGCGGGCTGCTGTGCGGTAGATGCGAACTTTGTCAATCTGTGTAGCGTCGTCGCCTACGTCCTTGACATGACCAAGGACATGACCCAGGCCGTTTTGTGAGACGAAGTAGCCGATGTATGTGCCGAGACCCATGTATGCTACTGCATTTTTGAGAGGACCCCATACGTCTGCTGGGAAGCGTTTGAAGAGAATGAAGCCTTTGCCGTTGAGTAGGTCTTCTCTGAGAGTTTCAAGGACCTTTCCAAGCTTTGGTAGAGGAAAGTTGGACTAGGATGTGTGAGTGAGAGGAAATGGTAAGTAAAAGTTTAGCCATACCTTGGAGATACCAGTAAGAGGTGTACCGCTGGCGATGAAAGCATCAGCGGTATCGCTCAACTCTTGGATCTCTTCGTCGGTGAAGGGATGAGTCCATCTTTCAGGTTTGTTCTCATAGTCTTCCTTCTTCCATATTGTAGGACCTGTGATCTCGGTTGGGAATTTAGAGTAGGGTTTTAGAACATTGTAAAGAGGAGGATGTTGGCCTGATGTACGGATACCATCAGGGAAGATGGAACGAGGGGCTTCAGCGTTCTTAGCTTGGGGAAGAGTGATGTGAGAGGCCTCGTCGATGAGAGCACCTGGAGCCATTTTGGAGATGATTTGATATAAGAAAAACAGACAATAAAGAGATACTATAATCAACGATGAATTAAGGAACTAACTAAATCGATAAATGAGCAACTATCTTCTTTATATATAGTATTTCTACAGCTTTGTCATACACTTTCCCCCGCATTAAATAAAACATGACGCCTTATTATTCAACGTGTATAGACGTGGCTTAGTCGATCTGGGGAATGGATCGAATTGCGTGCTCGAGGTGTGATATCACGAAGTACACCTTGACCAAATAGGCTAACTCGACTTGTCCAATTAGAGTCACAAATAGAAGATGGCGACATCTGTTAAAACGAAACTGACAAGACGCCGAGTCTATTTCTGGAGAAACAGTTTCTTTGGGAAGTAATTGATTTTCTGATGTATTTCTCAAATAGGACTGACGCTTCGATTGCACCATCACACCAAGTGATCAACAGTCGTACCACAATGCTGCTGCTTGCATGGTTGTTCCTAGTTAAGCAGGCGTCTGCAGTATTTCGTTACATCCTTTTCTATGAAATATTGTAAACTTCCAGACACAGATTTCATCAAATGAGAAGGACAAAACAAATACTGTGCTATGGTATATGATGTATTTACCAAGTCATACTAAGAGATTACTCAACCACAAGATAAAGATCTACAAGATAACAAAAGATAGGCGACCGCCGCGACCCGCTAGGCGTAATCGCGTATAGAAATATATATAAAAGACCTCATCAACCTCTCGCCAGTCGATATCTCATCTATACAAACAATCACAGAATCAACAGCAAAATGTCAACTCAAATCACAGTTACACCTATTTCTTCTTCAGCTAAGTCAAGCATCGACTTCGGCGCAATCGTATCAAACGTCGATATTGAAAACATGACTGGTAAGATCAGATATACACGTGAATAATCAAATAAATGGGAGAATACCCGTAAAATCGGTAACCTCCTCTGGTAAGAAACGACATCACCAAAGTCCAAGCCATCAGCCGCTGACTTTTCTCTCAGATGCCGACTTTGATGTGATCCGTCAAGCTCTCTTCACCCATCAAGTTCTCGTCTTCAAGAACCAAAGCCACGTTTCGCCCAAAGCTCAGTTTGAAATCACTCGTCGCTTCGACCCTGAAGCTGCAGGTTCATACGGCCATGGAAAAACCATCGATGCAAAGCGATCAATCCTGCATCCTGATCTCAAGACCATTCCTCATCAACCCCAAGTCCAAGTCATTGGCAACGGCTTCGTTGAAGAGTACGAGGGTCTGAAGAATATCCAGCTCAGACATCCTCATCATCGCACATTCCATGCAACTACTATTCCGGATGAGAAGGACCTTGATCTCACCAGGTTCTACAGATGGCATATTGACGCTGCTCTGTACGGCCTTGCTCCCCCTGTTGTCACGTCTCTCCTCGCCGTTCGTGTTCCGGGCGGTCGTAAGCAGACTCTTGTCTATGACGACGGCTCGGATGAGGAGATGACTGTGCCACTCGGTACGACCGCTTTCGTGTCAGGTTACGCCATGTACGACCAACTCTCGCCTGAAAATAAAGAGTTTGTGCGCACTACAAAGGCTGAATATGCCCCACATCCGTACGTGTGGATGAGCAGTGCAAAATCCCGCTCCGATGGTTTAGGCCTGGTCTCTGAAGGAAAAGAGATTCCTCTCGACAAGTTGCCTCTCATTGAGGAAGACAAGATCCAAGTTCTTCCCATGTGCTGGCGTAACCCCGTTACGGGCCGCTTAGCTCTTCAAGTACACCCCTCTGCCGTTCGAAAGCTGCATCTTGCTGACGGCACGTTAATTGATGATCTCGTCGAGGTTCGCAAGCGGGTGCATGATCTTCAACGTCCTGGTATTGCACCCGAAAAGGTGTACCCTCACGACTGGGAACAAGGAGACCTTGTTCTTTTCCACAACAGAGGGTTGATCCATTCGGTCGTTGGGGCTTTTGCGGAGGATGAGGTTCGTCTGTTTAGACAATGTAATATTGCTGGTAGCAAGTTGCCAGAAGGTCCAGTCTTAGTAGAAGCTGCGTAGACATTTATTATTAATATATGAGGAGAGAGTATTTGTTTCGTCGTCCAGATACTATCTACTGGCCCATCCACCTTTTTATCTCTGCAACACCGTCCCTGAATAAGTAATCCGCATAAATTTCATGCAAGTCCATCAGCCACTGGGGACCCAGATGCTTGTTGACGGTTGGATTACACGTCATGTTTTGGAAATGAATCTGAACCTTTTGCCTTTTACTGTTACCGTCTGCTCTTGGTCTCACAACAGTGAACCTGTGAACACCAGCGAATGCAGTGCTGTCGTCGCCAAATCCAAAATCGACATAGCTCTCCGTTTGCTTTGTCGAGTTTTTAGTGGTTTCCAAGTCAGCAATTCGTGAGTCAAGGACTTGGAAAACACCGAACAGCACAGAGTTGATTGGGAGTAAGTTCGTTTCTGGTATATCTTGAAGAGACCAGAGATTTGTTCTTGGAACTGGTGCTTGTTCTGTTTCGAGATCAACATTTTGACTTTAAGAAGAATTCAAGAGAGCCTTACTTGAAAAATGAACAAGATCTGTCCCAACTGTTTGCAGAGCAACCCTCTCAGGCCTTATTACAGCCCCTGCAAAGAAGCCCTTGACAAATTTGGCCAGCAAAACTTGGTCGGAGACGTTTTCATATTCAGTTGGTATATCGAGTGTGATGAAGCGCCAGTCAGAGTGATAGACGTGCTTTTTAGCATTGAGCATCTGACCAGCAGAGTTGGACGTGATAAAGGACTCTGGTATATCCTGAGAACGAGTGACGAGGTTCTTATCGACCAGGGAAACGCGGTTTGAGACTGTGAAGCTGTAGACGCCGCCTGCGGTAACTGCAGCTGCAAAAGATGTAGCGAGTATTTTCTGAGAGAGGCTGCGTAATGCCATTTTGTATTAGATATGCTATAATGAATAAATTGAGACTATTTACTGTATTTAAATACCCAAGACCTTGAGCCATCATGTCATGTTATACCTGGTTAAAGTATTGAACCAGGTGACTGCGGCTGAATCCGGTTCCACCCGGGAACGCTATTTGGGAATACCTTCGGTTGGAGTCGGTGTAGAATTCATCCGAGAACAAGCCACTATTCTGATGCGGATATTTGAGTCACTCCGTTTTATGGAAACAGAAACAAGAGCATTATTAAATGTTGAATAAATTATCCAGTAGACTGTATATTGACCCAAACTCCTTACATGCCTCCTCCTGACGCACAAGGGAAGCAAAGACACGTCACGAATGCACTCCACCAATGAGCTGTACTGCCCATTGCTTTTCGCGATTTGTGATCTTGTTCGGGTGGTTTATTAGCCATTTGTTGCTGTCGTAAATATCCGGCTCCGTTGCCTTGTTTATTTGCCATGATCTGTCATGTGTGTTAGTACTGCAAAGCTAAGATATTATGTACGAAGGCCCACCGAGTATTTTCTAGGTAAATGAAACAACGATATCAGATGCAAATCAAAGCCAAGGTAGTCAAAAGCTTGGGCACGATTAACCTTATAAGTAAATGGTGGCTATGCAGATTCCCTGTTATTGCACATCACCTGTCAGCCTTAATGACGTTAAGGGTCCTTGAAGGATTCGAATCCCGGTAACAAGGCAGAAAACACCATTGATTTCTCAACAATGCTCAATGAGAGTCTATAACACTACCACAACGACGTCTATCTGATTCATAAAACAAAAAGTCAAACTAGTTTATATATTCCACTTGCGGAACATAGCAAAGAAAGAAAGAGAGATCCAGCAACTTAAACCCTCTAAGCCTGACGCTTCTGCTTACCACACTTGGAAAGGCATTGATCAACCTTGAAACCAGCATCCTTGGATATACTATCCCTAATCTTATCAATATCATCACCCTCGATAACCTCTCCAAAAGTGTTGACCAGAGCCTCGTTTTTGACAGAGAAGAGTCCAGCCGCAACACCAGCAGCACCAGCATCCTCGGACGGGAAAGCAGCCAGCGCAAAAGCGGCATCGCACTCGGTGTTGATTTGGTAGTGCATCGCTCCTTGATAAAAGATAGTTGCTTCACCAGCACCGAGCTCGTTCCTGATGACACGAGGCTTGCCTTCAGCATCGAGGACGCCGCCTTCGGGCACGGCTTCGGTGTAGAGGTGGCCGGATATAACAGCAAAGAGCTCTGCTGCTCGAGGGTGGGTGTGGACTGCGATCATGGAGCAGCCTGACTCAGTCAGTAAAGTTCTACAATAAGTATGGAGTACAGATGCATACCTGGAATTTCAGCAGCAGCCAGACTAATTCCAGTTCCAGTAAGAGCAGGGAACGTTTTGCCATTGGCAAAACGGGCCGGGGTACTATTAAAGCTAAAGTGGAAGTCCTTGTCCTCGGGTAGGAGGTTGTAGCGATCAACAACACTATCTATATGTTAGTATCACCATGAATGAGAGCTTAAGAGTAGAACGTACCTGTCAGCTAGTCGCAGCTTGGTGACCAGACTGGTCTTGGTGCTCATGTCTTTACCCTGAGGGGCAGCAGTTGCAAGGGGCGAATAAGCCAGAAAGGCAGTGATGATGGAGAGCTTGACGTTGGAGAACATAGTGTAAATCGTAATAGTACGAAAGTGGTTGTGGTGGTTGTGGTGGTTGTGTGAAGGCTGTTGAGTGATGAGCTGCTGATTTGAACAAAAACTACTAGAGATAGACTGACTTATATACTTAATCTTGAACATATGAGGTAGTCTTGTTTCTATTCAATGCCTCAGTATCCATCTATCGTTGCGTATAAGTCAAGCTGTCCTGCCTCAGCCCTATACGCAGCATCCTGAGCGCACTGTGGCTCAATCTTTGTAAGTGAAATAAGCATAATATCTTGGCGTAAGCATTAAAATTAATTTTCCCCAGTACGATAGCTTCTTCAAATCTTCAGTGGAGTCAATTGGCGTATTCATTTTGATGATATAGCGTATTCCGGCGTATTAGGCGTATTCACTTGGTCGCATCAACAGACATGCAAGCCACCGCATAATAGAAAAAACAAGGAATAACAATTATTGTTTACTATCAATTGTCTATTACAAATTAATACTACATGGATAAGCTGCGAGGTTCAACTTCATGAGCGCGGTCACTAAGACTTGACCGCCGACGATCGAAATACTCTCTATGTAATGGAACCAGACTCAAAAGCTAATCAAAAAAAGAAGGGAGAAGACAACATAAAGAACTACATAGATTCATGTCTCAAATGTTTTCCACCAACATACCCCTCCGCTGTGTCGACAAACAACTTCCTTCCTTTAACCCACGACACCATAAACGAGAACAACTTCCAGTTTCCAATCTGCCCAGTCGCATACTTCTTCCCCAGCGACACAAAGATCATCTTTTTCGTCGAAGGCTCATATGGTTTAATTTTTGTTTCTCCCGTAAGAACTGCGTCTAGAGCCGCTGCCAAGTGGATGATCTGGTTGTCCGTGACTGTCAATTGCTTGGGATCAATATCGCCAACATCGCCGATGGCCCAGATGTTCTTTGACCCGACGACACGCATATTTTGGTCGATTCGGGTGTTCCCTTTGTCATCCAGGAATTTGGGCGGTACAAAGGATGTGTTGAGTTTGATGCCGTGGAGTGCCAAGTAAAGATCGGTCTTGAGTATAGTCCCATTTGACAAGAGTAGTTCAGTCTCTCGATCGTCTTGGCTCTTCTTCGCTTCGTTTACACGCGCGTTATGAATGAGCTTCACTCCAAGAGTTGTGAGGTCTCTTGTAACAGATGTTCGAACAGACTCGAGAGCCCCTTCCAAAGGTTGATCACCACTGATGATGAGTGTGATGTCCTTTGAAGAGCCATATCTCGCTGCCAATTCTCCCGCGACCTCAATTCCTGTCGCACCAGCCCCAGATACTATGATTGACTTTGCATGTCCAACCTGACTCTTCAGCTGTGTCCAAGCAGACATTGTTTGCTCATGTGTCCCGACAGGCTTCAGTGGGAGGCCACTGGCCATGGAAGAGCCAGTCGCGATGACGAGTTCATCATAGTTAATTTCCTTCGTAGATCCGTCACTGCAGGCCACATGAACACGGCCCAACTCTACGACAACCTTGTCTGCTTTCCCAAGAACAAACTCAAAGTTCGCGTGGGGGTATTGGTCAAATGCAGGTTTGATGGGTAGGAAGAGCTGCTGATCGGGAATAGCGTCTGGGATGATGCCACGAGTGGCGGCGACGTTCCAGAAAAAGTGAGTGTTTGGTGAGACGAGGACGACTTTCAGGTTTGAGATCTTAGGGAGAGTGTATTTGAGGAGCTTGTGTGTAAGTGGTAGACCTGCCCAGCCTGCTCCGAGGATTACTACAGTCTTGGCCATGTTGAGTCGTGTGGGTTACTACTCTTGTGTGTTTGTTGGATTTAATTGTGATTATTGAGAATGATGATACTGTTACGGGTATATTCCCTTTTTGTTTATCTTCTTTATACGTGAACCATGATGCTCGGTGTCGGTGCTGGACTTGTGCTATCACTGAAGTCATCTATCAAATGTACAGTCAATGTCATACAGATGTAGGTGTGATAACATGTATTTACTGTTAGTGTTGTCTGCACTCGGTTGAGTGGCCGAGTATCCTCCCGTGACAGGGGTCATGGCCGAACGCCGTGTCCGAAGTCGATCCCCGATCAGTACCTTTTATCTTTGAAGGATGACTTTGATAAGCTGACAAAAGACAGAATTAGCATCTGATCAATTCATCCACTATACATTTGCTTCAATTGACCGCTATATCCCTCATCACCGCAATCAACACATACTTCCCTATCTCTATAGTCGGAGCTTATAACCACCGATGGACCGACCATCATCATCATCACCCCAAGATGAAACCACTCTAAAAATCTGGAGCTGTGTAATCTGCCGTCGTCGCAAGATTCGCTGTGACAGAAAAGACCCTTGTTCCAATTGTGTAAAGAACAAGATCGATTGTCACTTCCCCGTGACAGGCCGTATCCCCCGTCGCAACCGCGGTCCTTCTACATCCAAAACACCAGCGCAGAAACAATCCGAATTACTCGGTCGTCTACGTCGTCTGGAGTCAGTCGTCACGGAGCTCGCAGCGCAGGTTGAGGATGAAAATGGGGCCAATATCGGAGCATCGCATCAGAAGCAGATAACAGTGGATGCTTCTGCAACAAACTCGTCCTGGGCTACGTCATCTGCTGTTGCTGACTCGACAGATGAAGGTGAAGATTTCGGTCGTCTTGTCGTTGACAAAGACGGTGGACTACACGTTGGAAATAGGTTCTGGTCTGTATTTTGCTCCGAAGTAAGTACAACAGTCCCAGACAGCTTGCAGTACCCAGCTAACAATCACAGGTTGACAACATCCTTCAAGCAGTTCACGACGTAGCTGACTACTCTGATCCATCAAACACCTCAATCATGTCAGAACCAACTGCCAATGGAAATCCGTCGCCTCTGAGCCATCTGGGTTTTGTATTTGGAAGCGCAGACTTCTCAAAAGCTCTCGATGGCCTGAACCCCATGCCCTCCCAGATGCTATTCATCTGGCAGACCTATGTTGAGAATGTAGATCCCTTCATCAAGATTCTACACGTCCCAACCGTTGAGAAGAGCATCAAAGACCTAAAGGGGAATTTTAGTTCATGCGGATCTACTACAGAAGCCTTGTTGTTTGCTATCTCACTTGCTGCCATCACGTCTCTAGATGATGAGACGGTCGCTTACAACTTCAACACACCCAAAGAACAGCTTCTGCAACGATACCAATTCGGTACGGAACAGGCTCTTGCTCGTGTCAACTTTTTATCATCAAAAGACATCACTGTTCTGCAAGCATTGGTCATATACCTATCTCTGCTACCAAACATCGGCGCTCAAGATAAAGTATTTCCGTTGACGGGGTTAGTCCTAAGATTGGCAAAGGGAGCGGGGCTTCATCAAGAACACAATTCAGATCAGCAAAGCCAGCTTCAAAGGGAAATCAGACGTCGCTTATGGTGGCAGATCTGCTTCGTCGACTCTGCCAGTCGACGGCCCGACGCTTCAGACTTGTCCATTGCGCCAGCATCCTTTAGCACAGGACTCCCGACAAATACGAATGACATTGATCTGGACAGCTCAACATCTCAAACACCTAATCCTAGCCAAGACTCAACAGGTGTAACTCTTTGTCTCATCCGCTGTGAGCTATGGTACCTCACTCAAGCCATACGGCCCGACAGGACAAATTCCCTCGAAACACGGCTCGGCCTGTTCAACGCCCTGAAACAAAAAGTCGAAAACACATACTTCCAGCACCTCCAGCCAAGTAAACCATGGGATTCCTTCATCAGAACAATGGCAAAACTCTTCTTCGCCAAAGTCGAGCTCGTCATCCGGCGTCGATCAAGGGACCAGCCGCCAACGGATGAACTGCTTCGCCCATCCATGGAAGTCATCCGTTGCGTCCAGCTCCTCAAATCAGAGCCTTCATGGGAGAAATGGCGCTGGCAGTTACAGGGACAGATGCCGTGGCATGCAATGGGTGTCTTCTTGCGTCAGGTATCCCAACATCCCTGGACTCACGAGCTTGAAGATGCGTGGAGCGCTACCGCAGCATTGAAAGAGAGAGCAACCAAGGATATGAAGACGGGGTATTTGTGGAAATCTCTCATGAAGCTATATGCAGAAACAGAAAAGCATCGTGAAGAGGAACTCAAGCGGCAGGGCGACAAAGCTGAACGCACATTACAGCATGGAAATCGTGTCAACTCGGATGTACAGCAGATGCTTGACAATGCAGCCAACGAGTCGTTTGAGATCCCTGTCAACCATCCCCTTATCGACACCTCGACATTCAACTCATCACTTCATATTTCTCCTCCGGCAGACAACGGTTCTCTATCCGTGGAACGACTGTCGACTGCCTTGGGTGCCGCATCTGACGACCTACCTTCTTGGACACAGGCTGGATGTGGTATGGATCTTGGCCAAGGTGATTCGTTTGGCAGTGTAGCTTCGAATGGGGAAGGCGATGAAGTGGACTGGGACGCTTTGATGGATCTAGATGAGACTTGGGACTGGGATTTCTTGTAGACCAGACTGCTCCATGCTACAGGGGTTATTTCATACATAGACTTGGATATGCCCTTCAGATATCAGTATAGAATTCGTTCTGATAGAGGTTGGCACAATTCGGACTAACGACGAACAACTGGCATTGCCACCATGAAGAGAAGTTGCAATATACAAGAAGTTTTCTATTCTAATATATGCAGTGAATAATACTCGATCACTGTAAGACGTAAGGAACCCATCCTGTCTGACTTGGTTTGTCGATGGTGTTTACTTTAGAGAACGACTCAAAGAGACAACTATGACATTGAGGCTTTATGCACGAAATATCGCAATCGTAACACACAAGGTAGAAGAATTCCCCTATACAACACGAGAGAGTGTGTGCATCGTCAGGCGTAGGCTTTGAGCTTTGCAAGATCTTATACGCAACATGAGCTGCAGTGTACTTGACTTCACGGTCACAAGCAAGACTTACATAACATACCAACACTATCTACAGTCACTTACAAGAAGTACAGAAGCGTGCAATGGAAGCAATCAGAGCTATTGCTAGTGCAACGCCTCTCTCCCCAGTTCCTCGACCCGGACCTCGACGATCTCAACTGTTAAGATCGTAGCATCCACCGTGGCATCCCGGGAACCAAAGCTCCACGTCTTCTGGAACGAAGCTGACTTGATCATAAGATCTTGATTATAGCCTAATCGATGATATTCGATAAAGGAATATATGGTGGTGTGTTCTGTTTTAGTGCACTTCGTAACCACTCCTGTTCACAACGCTGCTCATACCCCAGCTTCGTATTACAGCTGCCGAAGAACCGACTAGCTCCAACACTTCAACAAGGGTCGTTTGGACATCATGACAGATCAGGGGTCCCCACTAACGGTATAGATCCCGGAATGCTGGATACGGGTTCTTCAGATCGCGTGCCCAACTACGCTATGTACAAGGCCAGCAACTGGATGCTTAGCCGCGAGATGACCCAGCGGAGTGGAAATGAGGGTATCGTCAATGTAGCGTAGAGCCCAGGTAACGTGGCGTACGGGTAGAGGCCATGTGGTTCCTCGTACTGCATGTACTTGCTTGTGGAGCGTATACGAATCCTTATGCCGGGTTATCCCCGGATGTGAACATCAGGACGTACATCACATCATACCCGCATGCGACCTGGTGACGACTATTCTTGTTGGGATAGTACATGTCATGCTACCCGAGAAGAACGGGATGAAGCTGCGGGACTGGTATGAGGAGTAGTGGGCGAATGTCGTATAACGAAATGGAACCTTCGAACTCGGCCGAGATGGTCTTGTAATACGAGAATAAGCGGCCACTTAGCTACTGAATAGATTCGGTTGGTGCGGTTGACTAGTGGAGGAGAAATCAGGCCTCTGACTGACATGATCAATCATGACGAATAAGCCAAGACACCACGCGTATGATGATTGCAATCTGCAGTCTTCTGGAATGCTGCATACGCCTCTCCCGGTCACCCAGTAGACGACAATAGAATGAGGATTCTGGGCGGTATTCCCGCAGACACAATCTGATGCGTACAAATGTTTCCCTTGTGTTGAATGTCATACCATGCACGCCAACACCCTTCGCTTCCGCCGTTAGTGGGTGCGCCAGATCTTGATCATCCTCCAATAAGGATCTGAAGATATTTCTGGAAGCCGCAAACGGTGGCGACATGAACCAAATAAAGACACGAAGACTTTTAATAGAGGGTCAGGGATCAATGCCACTGGTCAAAGTGTATGCAAGCCACACGAGTTGCCAGGGCGAAGCAGAACTGCCACACGAGTTTATTCTCCATATCGTCTTAGCGGGGAAGAGTGATTGTATGAATGATGCATAAATGCATAACTGCATATTCACTTATTCTTCATAAACCACTATAAGCCGCATAGGGTGTAGCGCGATCGGGAGGGTGTGCCAAGTCTACCGATGCAGATAGATTAAATGCTTCATTCTGACAGGGGAAGAGAAAAGAAAAGGAAAAAAGAGGACAAGCACTGAATAGGTTTCACAACAACGGCTGTCATTTAGGATCCCCCTTGCTAGTTCCTCAAGGACTGCAGTAGCTTCTATGCTACAGTAACAAGACTATCACTCACAATCACACCGAGTTTTTACAGAACAAGCGCGAATAAGGAGGATTCACAATGATAAGGCTGCGTGTTTCAAAAGATTGGATGCAATTAAAATAGGGGGTGACAGGTAAATTGGGGGGCGGACCGTTGTTTAATGAACAGGGACCGAGATGAATTAGCGTCAACCACCTTCAATCCGT